GGGGGGGGGGGCAGATATTACACCTGGATGGTACCCAGCCGTAATTATATGATTTCACCCGGCCTGATTTCACCGGACCACGTCATAGCATACCTATAGTTTTCATAGTTTTTTGAACTCTACTCTGGACATGGTATTTCCACACTTGGATTCACCGTGTTCCATCGTGCCTGGACTGTCTCTGGGACGACTGCATAGCACATGCAATGACAGCACGCCAGAAAAACAAAAACATCCTACAACCCCAACAATATACAAAGTTCCGAGCCCCGGCCCGGGCGGATCCCGAAATCGCCCAGTCCCGATTCACGTGTTTCCAGGCTGTACCAGCATATGTGCCTAATTTCACCAGCAGACCATGGCTCCACCAAAGGCGCGCGGTGCACGGGTGTCTGCCCGCTCCTCCATAACCACATACCGTAAGCGCCAGACCATATCTTTCTTCTTTCCCATAGCTCTTTTTCCCACACACACCGGCACAGCACACCCACAAGCACAGGCTCACAATGTCGCAGTACATCGGAAAAACCATCTCGCTCATCTCGAACAAGGGCCTCCGCTACGTCGGTGTTTTGGACAAGATCTCCGCGGACGACGCCACGGTTTCCTTGAAGTCCGTCAGGCCGTTCGGCACCGAGGGCAGAATGGCCGAGCAGGGCCTGCCGAGCATGGAGGTGATGCCGAGCGCCGAGATCTACGACTACGTCGTTTTCCGCGGCTCCGACGTCAAGGATTTGAATGTTTTGGACACGCCCATCGACCAGGTGCGTCCGGTGACGTACTACGCGCCGCCAGCCGCCGCCACGTCGCCTCCGGTGGCTGCAGCCAGGCCGCAAAACACAGGCGCGGCGCCCAGAACCACGGGGGAGACGGCCGCCGCCGCCAGAGGCGGTTTTGAGCCGCGCACGACCACGGGCCCCCGTTCCTCTGGCAGCACCCCCCCTGCCGGCGCCAGCCCCGGGGCCGCGGCGGCCATGCCCCGGGAAACCGCCCGGCCCCAGGCTCCGCAAAAGAGCTTATCCGGCAGCGCGGCGCCCGCAGCCACGCCCACCACAGATACCCCCGAACCCACGAAAACAAGCAGCGAGGCGCCCCGCGAGCGTGCCGTGCCCACGCCGGCCCTGGGCTTCAGCGACGCGTACGATTTCGAGGAGGCCAACCGCCGGTTTGAGAAGGAAAAGCAGCAGGACGCGGCCGCCAAGCCCACCTACGACAAGAAGTCGCTGTTTTTCGACTCGATCTCGCTGAACGAGCACCAGGGCAGCATGCGCTGGCACGACGAGAAGACATTGAACATGGACACGTTTGGCCAGGCCTATGCGCACAAGGGCCGGGGCGGGTCCAGAGGCCGGGGCGGCCGTGGCCGGGGGAACGGGTACAGGGGCCGTGGCCGGGGCAACCGGGGCCGTGGCTCGGCCGAGGCGAAGCCGGAGTGGGCGTGAGTGGCCCGGAACATTAGGAGAACAAAAGCAACGGGGAGGAAAAAAGCAACGGGGAGCAAAAAGCAGGGGGGAGAAACGAGAAGGAGACCCGTGTGGACTGGGTGCATGTCAATGGGCAGCGCGGTTGTGTGGAGCAGGGCCGTGGTCGTTCCGTGTGATTGCGTGCGGCAGGCCAGAGGCGGCGGGCACGAGTGATCATTGCTGATGCGCTTCGAATCGGGCCGGCCGCTCAGAGTGCCCGGATCATGCACTTCTGATCGGCTAGCTTGCGAGGAGATGGACCCATGACCGGCCATAGCTTTCAGCTTAAAGCGTCGGTGAGCGGGGGCGCCTGGATGCTTGGCCACGAGCAAGTTGCGGGACCGGAGGAGCCGGCGAACACAGCAAAGTCTAGCACGTGCGGTTAATGGATATACTAGTGTAGCTGATCGAAATACGATTCTTGGAAAGCCGAGCTCCTTATGCCCGCGGGCATCCCGGGAATGCGCGATAACGCTTCATCATCCAACGCTTCTCCCTTCACGGACCTTTACACCGTGATCAGCCGGTGGTGTCATCACCCGCTTGAGTCGTCAAGATGGCGCTGATCGGTTCCTTGGCTGGGGCATTTGCGGGGCTGGTTTGAAAATAAATCCAGTTAATTTTTGGGCTGTCCATTAGGGCATTGGTACTTTTGGCACCCAGCAAACAGAGAACCGCCGCAGTTGATTCCAAAGACTGGCCAGACAAGAGGAGACAGTTGGGGTTTGTCTTCAAATCTGTCGGTCGCTTGCTCTTCTCAAGTTGCAATCCTAAATGACGTTTACGTGTCTTGGAAATAAATGGCCAGATGTGAAATGTATATCGGCCCTCCAGCCGGAGAGATGGAAACCATGGTCGGAGACCAGGACCATGACTGCTGAGACCAAATGCATGTGCGGCATATTCCAAGATATTAACAATGAGCACTCTGAAAGGTTTCTAGATTGTTCCAATCTTTCGCACTTTGTTCAGCTTTCCCCGGAATCGATCCGGGCTCCGATCGGAAAGGCAAGTACTCCGAATCACCTCTCCATATGCAATCATAAATTGCTCCAACAAGATTTGGGCCCTGGCCCGCATTGTAGTCTGGCGCCGCACAGGCGAACGGCCGCGAATTCTTGCTCGGCATTGAAAACCAGGAGCGGCTTATCGAACCATATTAAATCAAAAAAAGAACAATGGATCCAAACTCGCTCAGAAATTGTAGCAACGAGGCCTGCCGCAAAACATCACCCCACTTTGGCAGAATCGTAGCTCAGACAGGCTCGCTCCTTTGCCCTTCGCAGACGCGGCTCTAGTAAGTGCCTGCACAATCTTTACCTCGTCTTCTGGACCTGGGACCCATTCCAATAAACAGGTCGAAAGCAGAGCACCTCGGTTTCTTCATTTCTTTTTTTTTAACTGTCACTTTGATCTCTCTTCTGCAGACAATTGTATTGAACCGCCAGCATTTGCAAAATGGCGCTGTCAGATTATACCATCATTGACAGCTTTGTTGTAGACGGGCTACTCAATCAAAGAGTGCAATTTCTTGTGCCATTGGATCACAAAAACCCATCCAACGGCGAGAACATCACCATCTGTGCGAACATCACTCAGAAGTTCAAAAGCAAAATCCACAAGAACCACTCGGAATCCATAGTTTTTCCCACTGAGCGCAAATTATTGGCCTACCTCCAAGGCGGGCCTGGGTTCCCATGCGCAGTGCCCGTATCCAACTCAAGCTATACCAGGGTGCTCGTAGATGAAGGATACCAGCTAGTGTTTTACGACCAGAGAGGCACTGGACTCAGCTCGCCAATCGAGACAGACCTGTTGATTGGAAAAATGTCTTCCGTGCAAAATCGGAACTTGTCACGCACAGAAAACCTTCTTCTGTATGTGCTCCACTTCAGAGCCGACTCAATTGTCGAGGACATGGAGTACGTTCGCCGCGTGTTGATCGGCAACGCCAAATGGTCATTGTTGGGCCAGTCTTTCGGCGGCTTTTGCAGCTTCACCTACTTGTCTCGATACCCACAGTCGCTAGAAGAGGTCTATGTAACCGGAGGCGTGCCCCCTATTGGATTCACTGCTGACGATGTCTACCGCCAAACGTACGAGCGCACAAAGGAGCGGAACGCCCACTACTACCAAAAATACCCGCAAGACGTGGTACGTGTCAGACACATTGCCGCTTATTTGCACGAGAACCGCGTCAAGTTGCCAAGTGGCGGAACGCTCTCTGTGGAACGATTCCAGCAGTTGGGAATCCGGTTTGGTGCCGCAGGAGGCACCGATGGGCTCCACGCGATCATCACAGAGATGTGGGCTGCCCTTGAAAATAGTGGAAAACCAACCTACGCGGTCTTGCACAGGATTGAAAAAGACACGTCTTTCGACACCAACGTGCTATACGCTTTGTTCCAAGAGGCCATATACTGCGATGGGTCCAACAAGTCTGGATCCCAGAAATCAGCATGGGCAGCAGATAGGCTTCGATACGCGCCCGGCAACGAGAACTTTGTTGCCAATGAAGATATACTTGAGACGAATCGTCCGATATACTTCACTGGAGAAATGGTGTACAAGTCAATGTACGAAGACTACAAAGAGCTCGTTCCACTCAAGGAGCTAGCCCACGCGTTGCACGAGAATGAAGTTTGGTCCGACTTGTACAACGTGGAAGTCTTGCAGAAAATACAGTGGGAAGACGTACCAATAGTGGCAGCAACATACTACTACGATCAGTACGTTGACTTTGACCTCACGATGCGCGTCAAAAAGCAGGTCTTCCAGAATAACGGCAACTACAACTTGAGGCAGTACATCACCAGCGAATTTTTCCACAACGGGCTTCGTGCAAACCCAGCAAAAGTTTTAGGTTCCATGTTTCAGTTGCGCAAACGCGAGATTGATTGAGCCAAAGGCACCCACAAATTCAGTCGAAAGGAATTAACGGAGATCAAGTAGATTATGTCACATTTTATCGGCAAGTTCAAAAATACGTTTTAGGAGCAAAGCCCATTCTCGCACCACCATCCGTGGAGGAGGGAACAGCACCCAAGACCCAATTATCTCCGCCCTTATTGTAAGTCATGATATTCAGCTGGAGATCGAAAAGGACCTCGACTTTTTCACCAGCTTCGAAAGAAAGATCTCCAGGTTCTTCTCCAGCATATGACTCCTCGGCTGTCACTACTTGCACAGGAAGATGACAGGCCATGATAGTATCGTAGAAACGTTGAATCTTGATCAACTTCATTGTTTCAGAGTCATTCACATCTGCCTGGTCCGCCAGAGCATAATCCCAAGTATCCACAGCGAGCATGCTTGCTCGAGGCGAGATGGGAGCTTCAGTGATCTCATTTCTCTGCGCATTGTATAACTTGATAAGTTTCTCCGTGACTATATCCGAGTACAGGTTCTCTGTTGTCAGAATACCCACCAGTGACATTCTAGTGTCTTCCTCGTCAAACGTGAACGAAGCTTGGGATCCCAGGCGGGGAGAAAAGATAGAGCTTTTCCCCGCAAAGCTGCCTGCAAGAGGACTCGAAATGAGCGGAGACAATGTATCGGCGGCATTTGATGGAGAGCTGGGTGATTCTCTCGTGTGAACAATTGGCGGTGGTTTGATGCGAACAAGTCCCGTCTCATCTCTCGGAGGCAATGGCGGAGGCGTTTTACACAAGACAGGGGTTTGAGGAAGACTTTTCTGTGCAGAGTCGGAAACAGGGTATGCTTTCAGCAGGGCGGCGTCCTTGCGCCGGAACTGTATGTATGAGCGAAGCGGGTCAGCCGTCTGGTGGACATGGAAGATCCCTGCAGCACGATCAGCCGGCTTGACTTGGTGGTGCTTGTCTTTCACCTTCAGTGTGATCTTCAGCCATGTCTTGGTGATCCTCAGCGAGGAATCTTTGCCCTGAATTTCCTCATTCAAGAGCTCCGGGTTTTTGCTGTGAACTGCCAGAAGAAGCGATTCAATCCGGAGCCGCGTGGGTGTAGCCTCAGCCTCCCACTGTTCTACTATGGACACCGGGATTTGCATCGTCGTGTTGGTCTGACGGTCGAGGAGCCCGTAGAACTGGCACAAGGCATGTGACTTGCGGGCAAAGTTTTGCGCCACTTCGCGGTGGCGGCAAAGCGTCCAGTTCACAAGCGTGGACACGAACTCCTCGATCAAAAGCATGGATTCCGGGAGCGTGGCCCTCAACTTCGCATTGAGCGCCGCGTACCGTGCTGAGGCCAGCGCCAGGGCCGCCCGAGCGTCGGCGATCTGAGTGTCGTTGACCTTGGTACCGTCCGAGTCGGCCAGAAGCTTCTTCTCGAGTTTCAGCACCAGTTTCTCCAGCGCCACGCACTTTGCGTGGAGCGAGTCGCAGAGCTTGAGTCTGCCTTGGATATGCTTCAAGTGCACGAGAAGAGTATGGATTTTCGACGTTGACAGCCGCACAAACGGCTCCCAGAGTGCCCGTGCCTCATCCTCGAGCACCGCCGCCATTTTGCTGTATGCTGCCACCTCGTATGACGCGTAGAGTGTGTCCATGCCTTTGAACTCGAGCGAATGTTCGCCCACAAGATCTCCGAACAGCATGGCCACGGCAGCGTTATCTTGGCAGAGCGCAGGCCAGTATTTCGCCAGGATCCGGTCGTTTTGCGCTGCGAGAAACTCAACGGCTTCCACGCATTGGGCCACGTCGTGGGCGAACGCCGAAAAAAGCTCGTGATCGGCCTCTTCGGCGGAGTTTGTTTTGCGTGATAACACCGCGGGGAAGCGTGGGGATATGAGCGGCATGGTCGGAGGGGAAGTTCTGGTGAAGGGTTAGGAGACTCCGGATTTGTTCGGGTGCTCTGGTGGATTAGCCGGTTTTTTTCATTCGAGATTTCGGGCCCCGGATTCTTCAAAGAAATTTCTTTGAGGGCTCTCGTATTTGATTTCCTCCTCTTGCGAGTTTTTTTTTTTTGGTGTAGATTGGCGGCGCAGTTCGGGGAGCCGGTTGAGGATGTCTGTTAATATGTGGGAGACATTTTTTTGGTGTTCTTAGACTTGGGAGCTCCCAATATGTGAGAGGCTTTGAAAATCGCGACGGCGCATAGCGAGCGTGATTTGGCGGGTAGCATCTTGTGGGGCAGGGTCGAATATGGAAAACTCCCTATTGCGGATCCAGGAGGGTATGGGGAACGCTGAAGCGGAAAAGCCAAAGTGCGAAAAGCAGAAGAAAATGGATGGGCAGAAGAAAGAGGAAGGAGAGGAAGGAGGAATGGAGGATACAGAAAACGGCAGGAACGGAGCAGGCAATGTGTCGAAAGAAGAAGAAAAGAAGAACGAAGAAAAAGAAGAAGAAAAAAAAGCGAAGAGATAGAAGGGAGAAAAGAGATGCAGAATTGCAGCCATCAGCAAAAACTTAGAAAAGAAAAGAAGGGCGGGTGAGGGCTTTATATAGATCGATGGCGCCAGTCATATTTGACAAAACATGGCTGCCAATAGGGAGCCACGCGCATCTTGACATATAGTTATATGCAATATACGCGAACCGGAAGATCACATGAAAAGCCTTGTGCCCTCACAAACGGACCATGTGAGACTTTGAAAATCTCAGGCTAACTTGCTGTTTTACTCTTGTGCTGAAATAGAAGGGGCACAGAAATTCGTGCTTCGTGAAGTCATTTCTGCAGAGTCCAGCCCGGTACGTGTGGTCCTGCATCATGACGTCAATACACCGTATACTGCAACGGTTGACTCGAGCCTCCGGTTAACTTCCTTAACTGAGACTGTCTTGGAACATATTTAATGTTTTTTTTATAGAGTATACCCGAGAACATGTAAGCAGATATTGGAATTGAGAGCAGCGAATACATTGATACTTTGAATGTAGACTTATCTTTCACAGTTGCCGTAGACTCGAGTATGACAACACTCGTTCGGAATCTGAACAACAGATTTTCTGCGGGGTCATGAATGACCCTTCGGAGAAAGTCATTTATGAAATATAAGGCACCCTACGAGTCATAAATGAGAGGTGATTTATTACACATACCAGCATCTTTACACAACAATGTAACTTGTTGAAATTCATTACATGTAGCATTTAATGTTATTATATAATGAGACATATAAGATGATTTATTTAACATCATTGAATGAACTGAACTGAACTGAACTGAACTGAGTTGAATCTTTAATACCATATGATGTAGCTTCTGAAGCTTTAAAATTAATTGAATACTTCATGTTCATCGAAATTTATCTCAACTGATTTAGAATATTCTAAAAGACCTTTAATCTTAGTGACCTTAAATTGATAATTACACCTCTAAAATCTAATCTTGAAGGATACCAGGGAGGGGGCATATGATAAAGCTCTTTGAATATAATTCAGCTATATTTACAATGGTGGCATGGTTGAATCTGATAACAATATCTGAGTCTTGATTTAGATAATACATAAAACTTTTCATGATATTGTTTTATTGAAAGGCATTTAAAAATCTCAATAAGAAGAGAAACATATAATTAAAAAGATATAAAAGAAATGTTTGGAGCGCCAGAAATCTAGAATCAGTTTTCTTTCCCTTTGGGATAAATCTTTGAGGCCGTCAGTATAGGGAAGAAGATATAAAAGGGACAATGTTCAGTGCATGTACAATTCCACTCGATTAGTTGCTGCGGATTGAGCCTGTCCTTTTCAGGCCACTCGTTTAACCTTGATTCTGTGTATCCATTTGCTGTGAAAAGTGAAAACAGCGAAGCTGTATCTGCTTTAAGTGCCCTGAGACAGAACCGATCCTGAATCGTGACCATCTATGATAATGGCATCTGAGATGTATGGTATCTCAGATATACTCACCAGGAACCCGTCTCAATACCATGGTCAAAAAGATCTGCTCAAGACAAATTGGCCCTAAATGTTTTGCATTAAAAAGAGTTCTCTTGTGGGAAAGCCATATCCTAGCCTCAGAACTAGACAATAGACTGTTTATTCCACATTCCAAATTCAAGGGTGAATGTCTTCTGGTGTGTTTGGAAGATGAAAGAATTGCAGTAGAATTCAAATTCCATGCATAGTGTTTTTTTCCACCTCATGGAGGCTAACCAAAGACCAGGGTTTGAGACGAGGAAAGGAAGAGCACAGTACTACGTCAAAAAAGGAAGACTGCATTTTTATAGGCAAGCTGAGTGTAGAAACCAATTCGATTCAGCAAGATGTATTGCGTCATATAAGAAGCTGGTCCCTGGTTTAAGTGGATATGGAGAGCTCACAGTTCCAGCAATTGTCATACATCTTCTAGATTGAGACATTGAAAACGTTGAAATGCCCTGGTGTGTTGCAGTTGATGAAGAGTAGATTCCAGTGTCCCTTAAAATTGGAGCACATGAATGAATCACAAGGCTAGTGTGAATACCTTCTTCGTCTTTTGGGCTGTTCTACAGGAAGTTATATTTAAACATGTGCATGAGCCGCGAGGAAAATCAAAGAGAAGAAAGAAAAGCCCGGCACCGAAGCATAACCTGGAATGTGGCAAATTGACCCACGATGTTTTTCAAAACTGTAGTACTTGGTTTCATTTAAGAAACACTGTATGGCTTCAATTGCAGGTTGTGGGGCTGAACGTTTAAAGACCATGAAATGATACAGTAAAGTGTTCTATCAAACAATCAAACACCAAATGTTCCAAATATTGATTGCAGAGAAATCAAAAAGCGGACCAAAAAAGCAAAGTGACAGCAAATACAAAAGGGACCACATGAAAGGGGACAGAGCCGAGTGCCCGAGCTGCATCCAATGTCTTTCCCAGTGGATCCAGGAATGATCAAAGCAGCCGACTTTTTACAACAAGCGACGAGGCAGAAGCGGTCTAAACCAAACAAAGAGCGAGATTCAAACCCCAAGAGACAAAATACAAGAGGCAAAAAGCTCAAAAAAATCGGCTCCGACTTAGCTCTGATATCTGGAGGTTTTCTTTTAAACCACCGCCATTTGGCCCGTCTTTCAGGACTCCGTGCGCAAAACAAGAATTCAAGAGGACGATTATTACGCAGAAGTGAAGGTGGCTGAGTAGGCGAGAGGCATATGAGCAGGCAAGCGCAAAAGATGCAGGCTTTGAAAAATCGAGAAAAGGTCAATTTCATTTGAGCCCAAAATTGAGTGGGAATTCATCACCTCATGGCTTCATATACGCTTCCACAGCAAGTTTTGGTATTATTGAAAAGCTGTATTTGATAGCATTTGTAAGCTCTATTCAGAAGACATGGTATTTGGTGAATTCGGAAGTATTAATTTACTATTTGACTTGGGTGCCCACACATTTCATTGACTAGTTTGAGCATTCCAAATTATGGTTTCGAAAATGAAGTCAAGATGAACATCACAACATGTTATATCTCACAACCCTTGCAATCGTATGAGTCATTTTAATAAATTGAGCACGGAATGTAAAGGCACAGTAAGGCTATAACCAAGTTCGCCAAGCCAAGTAAGCTTGAGAGCCAAATCACTTAGGAAGGGTCGGGACCGCATTCATTCCGTCAAGTTGGAAGACCAGAAAAGGTCGATGACAATAATGCAAGTACCTCGCAAACCCAGAAAATAAACCTATTACGGACGAAGCTCATAGATCGATAACATCAAGCTATGTCAAGAGTATGTTAATCCCAAAAAAGCAAGATGATTCTTTTACACCCAATTTCCGCACCGAGTCATTCGGCCTCGCAGAAATTAAAAAGTTGATAGAACGAAGCAAATTGTCAGAGCCAAAATACACGGACAGAGAACAAGCCAAAAGCCAGATAATTAAACAAAAACAGTAAGGTTTGCGTTTTCAGAACACAAAAGCAAGCAAGATGAATAAGACTACCAAAGGCGGCCATAGGCTGATATGCGACTTGCGCCCAAACTTTCATTCCCTCGCTACCCCGGCATGGTATTTTCTGTTTCCACGTCTGGAGTCCAGAAAAAATTAATTAAACGAGATAGTCAAACATTCACAAGGCCGAGCAAGATAATGAAGAAAACAGATCATAAGAATCATGGGAATAAGAAGGAGTCGCGACAATTATATGGATGCGTCATGAGATCATAAGGATCATAAGAATCATAAAAATATAAAGACATCATAAGAATCATACGAATTGAAGGAATCGTAAGGCTGATGAGAATAATAAGGACCCATGAATCATAAGAATCATACGATCATAAGAATCATAATATTCCTAAGGACTCACAGAAATCATGAGAATCAAAAGAAGCATAAGATCATAAAAATTATAAGATCAAGAATCATAATTATAAAAAAAAATTGTTATAAAAATTGTAAGATCAAACATCATAAGATCATAAAAATCAAAAGATCAAAGAATGATAAGATCACAAAAGCTATAAGATCTAAGAATCACAATCATAGGATTCAGAAGAATCACAAGGGCTGAAGAGAATCACATGGACCCATGACAATCATAACTCCATACGGACTCATAAATCACAACCCCCCACACAAATCCCAAAGCGAAAAAACACCTGCTCCAAGACTCCGTAAAAATTTAGTTAAATTTATTTAAAGAAATCCCCGGAATTAAAAAAAAAAGCCACGGAAAAAGCCTAAAGCGACTTCGCTCCGCCGCCCGCACTGCTCTAATTTCCTCGCCCCGTATTCCGCACCGTCATCCAGCGCCGGCCCCGCGCGGCCCTCGAAAGCCACTAAAAACCCCCCCTACCTCCTCACAAATATACCCCACTTTCTTTCAAAACGCCCCTTACATGCCCCCCGTCGTACCATTCAGATGTCCAAGCTAGCAGCCACGCCCGCCCCGTTATTGGGGCGCTCAAACCCGGGGTTTTCCGGCGAGTGCTATCGATCCTTGGCCCGGCCCGAATTTGAAACTGGAGCCGGCGCCATGGGCCCGCCAGTCGAGGGCATGACGAATGACGACAAAAACAACAAAAACGACACAGGCAGTAATACAAACGGAAACACAAACGACACAGATACCACTAGTAAAAACAACAACACCAACAACACCAACAACACAGACACCACTAATAGAAAGAATGACACAAACAGCACAGACACTTCCTCGGCCGCTTTCTTACAGCCACCCATAGCCGCCCCCTCAAACAGGCCCCCATGCCCGCGCGCAAACACCCGGACCTCCCAGTCCGGCCCGCGCGTGTGGTCCAAAGTGGCGCGCACACCCATCTTCGACGGCGCCAACGGCGTCATCTACAAGGCGCTGGACGCGAGCCGCTCCGTGTTTGTGGTGGTCAAAACCGTCAAGGTCCAGCCCTGGCACACGCCCGACGTCTACCGCCGCTCCGTGCTCCGTGAATACGACAACCTCGCGCGGTGCCAGGCGTGCCGCCACGTGGCCACCGTGCACGACGTGTGCTCCAGCGACGCGTCGCCCGAGCTCTCGCTCGTGGTCCAGTACTACCCGCACGGCGACCTCCTCGACTTCCTCGGCTCGCTCCGTGCCAAGCGCGTGGCCATGCCGCCGTCCTTGCAGGACGCCGTGTTCAAGCAGATCGTGCGGGCCGTGGACTTCCTCCACCGCCACGACGTGGTGCACCGCGACCTCAAGCCGGAGAACTTCCTCATCGACGCGCAGGGCTCGCTCCGGCTCAACGACTTCGGCTGCTCCTTGGACTTGCAGCGGCTTGGCGAGCAGCTCCCGTTGAACGGGCCCAGCTGCGGCACGCCGTCATTCAAGTCGCCGGAGTTGTTTGGCCTCGAGGCCGCGGCGCGCGCGGGCACGCCCGCGGACCCGGCTTTCGACTTCCGGGCCGTGGACGTGTGGGCCTTGGGCATCGTGTGCTTCCACGTGTACCTCATGGCCGCGCCCTGGCCCCACGCCAACGTGGCGGCAGACGACCGCGCCAAGGCCTTGGACCTCTACTTGAAGAACTTCCCTCTGGACGACGCGCAGGTGCGCCGCTTGGCGGACCGGCTCAACGACACGCGCTGCAGCACGCAGCTGAATCCAGCGTTGCTGCTCTTCAAGAAGATGCATTACGACGCGCGCCTCGAGCTCTTGGCGATGCTCCACCCGGTGCCCGCCAAGCGGCCCACAACGGGGGCGCTTCTTGCGTCCAGCTGGCTTTCCCAGGCGTATGCCAAGCCGGGAGATATCTTGGCCTTGGCGCGATGATTCTGGCCGTTGTGCTGGGGCTGGCACAGACTTGGGTGCTGTGTGAGGGACTTAGGTTCTGGGGCTGGTACGGATTTTAGAAAGGATTATGATACGTACTGCAATACGGGCTTCAATAACTGAATTTATACGGACTTTATACGCACTTTATACGGACTTTATACGGGCTTTATACGGATTCTAACGTGCATGGGAACAAATTTGGGAGCTGGAACTTCAAAAAGTAAACAGCTCAGCGTATCAGCTTAGACAGACCCTTGTCCTGGTGCCACAGCAACCTGGATGTGATCACTCGGTCCCTACACCATCAACAGAGCCATACAAAAGACGAACATGAAATTAGGATTGAAGTAAACAATGACTATGTTGTATAATACAGAAGCGGCCGGAGCATGTGGGGTGCTGGCCAAGCCAGCGATTAGTGAGGTAAAAAAAAAAACAGAAGCAGTGTAACGAAACACTGACGCCAACCATGGCAATGCAACAATAGATAGAAAAGTGCCATTAGAGCAGCCAAGCGAGGCTACCCTCAGTGATAGTTCAGGTAGCCGTAGTTACCTACGCCGTTATTCGAGCCGCTCGACAGTGAAGGTTGCGGGTTTGCCGAAGCTCTGCGCGGGTTGCCCGGCCCACGCACGCCCAACGGGTTTTTGGAGAAAGATAGACGGATCCCGCCCTTCGTGTTGTTGCCAACAGGCCGGGGCAACGCTCTTCCGTAGAGCTCGGCCAACGCGACAGTGGCGTGTGCCACGTCTTCAAACTCAACGAAGCACATCGGGCCGTGGTTATGGCTCGAGGACCCGCCGCCCGAGCCAGAGGGCTGGTTCTTAGTACGGAATGATAGGCGCCTGAAGCCCTTCTGGGGCGAGAACAACGACCTGAGCTCGGTCTCAGTGGCGTCAGGGGGCAAGTTGCCCACATATAGCGTGTTGCACGGCGGGTTTTGGTCCGCGGGGTTCGCCGGAGGCGGGACCCTGGCAAGCAAGGACAAGTCCGGGACGTCCTTCTGCATGGGCCTCGCTCCCGTCGGCGTCGCGGCCGATGGCTGGGCCGAGCCTGCCAGTTGCAGGCTGGAGGCCTGGGGCCCGGAGGAAGCCGGCGTGCGGCCAGCAGGCATTGTCAATGAGGGCATGGCGCCGCCCAGCTGCTGGGTAGGGCCTTGCGAGATGATGGAGGCGACGGTGGGCGGGGCCGGGTGCTGCGGCTGCTGCTGATGCTGTTGCTCGTGCTGGCGCAAGGCTTGGGCGGAGGGGGACGGCTGGGTCTTTTGCGGAGTCAGCTGCTGTTGGCCCTGGGAGTCGTGGCCCACGGGGGATTGCGCTGCCACGTGGGCCGCGTGCCCGTTGAAAAACGACGACGTTCTCCTGCGGTCGGCCGGCGCCAGAGTGGTGACAAACGGCATTTGCGAGCTGCCCGCGGGGGCGTGGCCCGGCTGGAGCGGCGCCTGTTGGGTGTGAGGCGGCGCGTGGGCCTGGGACGAGGCGCTGGCGGACGCTGGGAGCGTTCCCGCAGCGCCCGCGCCCCAGTCGTAGGAGCCGTGGACCGTGCTCAAGCCCGGCGTCTGGGGGTTGGACGAGAACCCGATGTTGCCCTGGCTCTGTGCCGCCCAGGGGTCGCGCAGCATGGCGTCGTACTCCCGGCCGTCGCTCGGCTTCATCAAGAGCAAGGACTTGCCGGTCAAGTCACTCAAGTCGATTGAGCCCGGCGCGCCGTTGGTGGGCGTCGTGGAGCCCGAGAAGGGGTCGCTGAAGAGGAAGCGCGACCTCTGGTTGCCGATGGACGGGCGTTTCTGGAAGTTGTCCATGCCCGGCGCCCCAGAGCCCGGCTGGAGCTGTGCCGCGTGGGGCTGGCCCGCGGGCGCGTGGTGCGGCGGCTGCGCCGCCACCGACAGGGACGACGGCGGCGAGATGCCCGCGTTGGAGAGCCTCATGTTGTCGAAGGCGGCGCTCGCGCCCGAGAGCGCCTGGGAGGCGTCGTACTCGACCTTGACCGGCGGCAGGCTCTGGCCGAAAATGTACTTGCCGTCGAGGAGCCGGCCCGCGGTCAAGCAGGTGCTGGGGGTCTTGAAGGCCACGCAGACCAGCAGGTCGTGCTCGTTCAAGTCGATGCTGAGCACGTCGTCCAGGACCAACGAGAACATGAGGCCAGCCTCTCGCTGCGAGATGTCGGAGGGCAACCCGGCCACTTTCAACACGCTCGGCTGCGGCATTTTCTGGGCGAGTGCGCCCGGCGCAGCGCCGGGCATGGGCGCGTTCTGGGGCGTGTGGCCCATGGGGAAGTTGCCGAGGAGGCTGGGCGGCGCGCCGCCTCCGCCTGCCATTGTGCCGCCCAAGCTGATGGGGTTTAGTATCAGCCCGGACGAAAACTGTCCATTGCCGTCGGTGGACATGACGGGATGCAAAAAGGGGCTGTAAAAGGGCCGTGGTGTAGTTGGCTAGACGGACGGGTGCGAGGGTCAGCAAAAAGGTGGAGCACCCGAAGGAGCCTTGGCGAAACGGGGGGAAAAGCCGGCGCGGAAACGGGCGGGCCAGACGGGGGTCCGTGGGTCGCTGTGTGGGTCAACGCTCCAGGGGCTCGGGGCGTTGGCGGCGGGACAGGAAAGGAGGAGTGGGTGCCTGGGAGAACTAAGCGCCGAACGCAGGGCTTGTTTTTTTTTCTTTTTCAAGGAGGCGTTCACAAAGCGGGCGGGTCGGCGGCTAATTGCTGTGGTTCTGGGACGTCGCTGTCTGGCTGAAAGCGTCCGGTGGTTTTTTTTGTTGTTTCGTGGATTGACTCCAGGGTATGGGATTATGGTTCTCGAAACTTTTTTCCGTTCGTGCTTTTCTCACACAGGGAAATCCGGAGGGCTCGATATGGAGATTAGAGAGACGCGGGGGCAGTGGCGGCAAGAAAACGGAACCCGGGAGGAAATCGAGCCACGCACGTAGAAAAAGAACCTCACGGGGCAGCGGGGGCAATGGTTATGCACAGATGAAGATATCTTGGCTGCTAGCACAATTATGGTGGGGGGCGGCGGGAAATTGACGGGTGTATATCGTTTGCACTAGTGGGCGTGTCCGTGATCCTGTCAATTTTTCTGCGAGCCAAGGCCTGCCTCGCGGCAGCCGGAAGTCGGCGCGGGTCGTGCGGCGACCGGGCGGCGCGCCCCCGGAACAGACCTCGGACCAATCAGAGCCGCGCATTTGCCCTCGGAGCGTGCTCACAGTTACGCGGGCGCCGCCGGGGGTGCGTAAACTCGGTCCGCCGCCCCAGCCGCTGGCCGGCCCAGCCACCACCGGTCCCCAGCCAGCCAGCCGGATTCCCAAAAGAGCGAGCGGGCGCCGCAGGGCTCCTCCTATAAGCGACGAGTTGCCTTGTGAGATGAAACTGCCTATTCCGGCCATGCTCTCGGTCCTAGTCGGGCGCCATGCAGTTTTGAGGCTCCCTTCCGGAAACTCCAGACGAAAACGTTAGACGGCTGTATTTCTCCACGACACAGTGGCCGCCAGCTTTATGTTTGGCATGCCCTGAACAATCCGTTCCAGGCACCTGGCTCTGAAAGCGAGCGGATTATCGACAAAACCCGGTTTTATATTTTAGCAGAAAATAAAATAAAAATTCAAAAACTGGTAGCTCTTTCAGAAAGAGACCTCTTGTGTCAACTAGAATCAAATTAATTCGCCAAAAACGGCATTGTTGGAGATGGGAGAGAGCCACATGCGCTGGGGAGTTTTGGTCGCATGGCAAGAACGAATAATAGGGGACGTGCTCATATGAGCCCTGGCCAGAAAATTAGGTATTCCCACGTTGGGATCCTTGAGATTTCCGAAATCAGGGAGTCCACGTAGATATGGCACCCTACTGGTAAATTCCGTGATATTTTCCATAGCCGCTTCAGATCCACAGCCAAGTAAGTCTAACCACCATAAGATTTGGTGGTTTCAACCATGATTCAAAGACAAAAAACAGCAACGGTTGTAGTTGAATGCATACGCTCTGAAACCACAAGTGAGGTCAATACCGACACAGGCGATATCTCAACCGTAGTTCAAGACATGAAGAACGAACCATATCTGAAGGGAAACATAATCAAACACGGTTTGTCGGAGAAATGGGTCGACATGCCTAGTCCATACAAATAATGGCACATCTGAGAATTTTCGCCCGTTGTGCACAACAGGTCGTTTGAAGAAATGAGCATTTTTGTTTCTGCGGGCGGCTATTTTTCATCAACACTCAGCTTGTCATGTTGCCAAGCCAGTGATCCAGTCCAAGAACTCTCCGAGTCAATTATTTTCAAAGAAAAAGCCAAAGTAAATTTGTGGGAAGCCATAATACTTGTTCCATGAGGAGCACGATGGAAGCTGAAGCACCTCAACAGTATTAGTTGTGGATACTGGACCAAGATTCTTCCCCTGCTCGTCCTGCTGTTCTCAGATCAAGTCTACTGAATCTACCCCAACTCTCTACCAACAAGATACGCCATTGACTGCCCCACAAGGTTTCAGTTATTCTATTACTCTTGTCTACATTCGTCTGTGAAGCTCATTTCAAGGGACACTTACGACATGTGCCTGGCTCGGTTCTAGAAATATGTCATGTACTGCTTGGATCACATACAGTCAACGAAGCCTTTTCAGCTAGCCGTGTTAATTGGAATTTGTCAGAACAGTAACAGAGGCTACGCACCGTGCTATAGCAAGTTCCTCATTCCCAGATCTGGCGTCTCGCAACTGGACTTCCAAATATCAACATCCAAATATCAACATCCAAATATCAACATCCAATGTTCACTATTGACCAACATCCTTTTGGGTGCTTTGCACGCCACAGCAATAATAGAGTCTCTTACCACTCTAGTAGTGGGAGCCACAAAGGATCCCTCTGACCCCTTCTCCACCCAGCGTCAACACAAAGCGTTCTGCCATCTCACCAGCCGAAACCACGACGGAGTATTGTGCGCATAGTCTGCAACCGTGATTCCGAAGTTCTCTCCGTAACGTGGTACAATTGACGAAAGTAGCACGAGTGGCTTTGGGCGTGGAGTGCCTCGGCGTTGTTGGGATCGATATCAAACTGCGCCATTGGCGGGCCAATGAAGCAGTCTGCCTCACTGGTCGAAGTATACTGTAGAACGTTTCGAGGAATGTTTTCACACGCGTGCAAAAGGGCCTCGTGTGCATCGGCCGTGCTGCTGACAAGCATGAGCTCGTATTGGCAGCTGCTCTTTTCAAAGATGATCTTGGCCGACAACGCGTTGTCGCTGTACAAGCCACCCGCACTGTCAGTGAGGTTTGCCACAAACTGGCAGTTGGCAAAACTCAATATGAACAAGAGCCTGTTGGAGCGGAATTCTGTAAACACAATATGGTTATCGTGGAGCAACACGCGGCACTCGCGCCACACGTGGCCCAGCGGGCCGCTGCGGTTGTAAGTGAGCCAGATGACGTTGCTGTGGCCCAAAAGGTTGATGAGTCCGAAAAACTGGTATACGGGCACCGCGGTCTCCGAGAGATTGATGCAGCCAGCGATGTTTTCTAGCACGGTCTGGCGCTGCTTGTTGGTGGTGATGTCGTCGTTGATCTGGACCAACTTGTCGTTGATGCGGGACATGGACCCGAGCACCAGGCTGTTGTCCGGGCTCAACTTGGCTAGCAGGCCGAGGAAAAGCCGGTACTTGGTGATGCGGCACATGGGCTTCTGGAGGAGCAGCGAGAGCGACAAGTCCATGCGCCGCTCGCCCGGCTGGTTGGTTTCCAAGAAAGTCTGGAGGTCACACACGTACGACAGCTCGAACGGCGGGACCTGGCGACTGACCAAATAGAGAACGAGCTCGGCGCATGCCGCATACTTGCCGTAGGAGGGCTCCACGATCACGCGGGCCATTTCGCGGGCTAGGCGGGCAATGCTTTTTTCCAGCGACACACGGGCCAAGAACCGCTCGTGTTTGGCACGGAGGGTCTTGACCACGCAGTCCATGTTGAGCAACGGCGTGCACGTGAGACGGAGCCCCGTGCACTTGACTAGCAACGGCTCCACGAAGAAGTTGCCCAAGAGCAGCAAGCTCTTGACGTACGCGTACTCGCTCTGGATGATTTCGTTGACGGTGAAGCTGATTTGCAAGCGCACCTGTGCCTGGGCAATGTCCTCGGGCGAAAACGACACCATGGCCTGCGGCGACGCGAGCCACGGGCTGCTGCTGCTCTCGCCGCTGGACCTGGCCAATTCCGCGTCGGAGGCCGAGGGGCCCAAGTGGGGCGTGTCTTGGAGCGGAGGCAGATGAGCACTGTTGCCGGGCAGGCTGTTTTCGAGGGCTCCGTCGCCGGCTAGTCGACCATGGATGTGGCGAGCGTCTGTACCCGTGTTGGGTGTGCCGGGGGGAGACGAGCCAGAGGGAGGGGTATGTGGGCGAGAGGCGCTGGACGCGGCGCTGCTGGGGTGGTTCGATGGGGGAGGCTGCCTTCTGGAGCCAGCATTATGCGACAGGGGCATATCTGAGGGGGGGCTTTCGAAGGGGCATGCACCGGGCTCGGGAAGACTGTGCTGGGGTAGATTGGACTGGGGTAGCTCTGGATCTGACTCGGGTAGATAAACACCGGGTAGATAAGCACCAGGTGGATCAGCCTTGGGTAGATAAGCACCAGGTGGATCAACCTCGGGTAAATCAGCCTCGGTTAGATCAGCACCGGGGGGATCAGCCTTGGGTGGATAAGCACCGGGTGGATCAGCACCGGGTGCGCCAGCCTGGGCAGTGCCGGTCAACCTTGCGGCCAGCTGCGGTCTCCCCGACCGGGCCGCGCCCAAGTGGTTTCTTCCAGACTGAGCAAGCCCCAACGGCGGGGTGTCCGATACAGGTGCACCAGACCGAGCACTCGAGTGCGGCGCTTCAGAACGAGCCTGCCGAGACGGCGGAACCGCCGGGACGGGCACGGCAGGAGGCGGAGCCATGGGGGCCGGCAGGGCGGCCCGAAACCACCCCGAACGGGGCGTGTTGGCGCGGAGCCACCCAGGACCCTCGCCGCCCGAAGCTCTCCCTCCCGAGCCTGCGCCGGCAGAAGCCCCGCTCTGGATCGCAGTGGTTTCCGTCTCGGCGCTCCCCGAAACCGCGCCCCGGGCACCAGCAGCGCCGGTGTCGCGCCCGCCGGCAGCCCCCTGTTGCGGCTCGCCGGCCGCTCCCGAAACCAGCGGCTCGGTCCGAAAAGAGCCCGCCACATACGGCGCCACATACAGGCCCAAGGAGGCCAACGACGCCAACGACGCCAACGACGCCAAGCGGCGCGTGCCCCCCTCTTGGCCCCGCTCTTGGTCCCGCTCTTGGCCCCGCTCCTCGTGCCGCCCCACGCGCCGGAGCTGGCGCCCGTCGCCAGGCGTGTACAGGCGCCCCAGGTAGAGCGTCTGTGCGCTGCCTTCTGCGGCCAGACCCAGGGCAAAAAGCGCCAGTCCCCCCGGGATAGTCCGGACCAGCCGGCGCGATGGCTCGCGCAGACTTGCCGGCGGCGGGCGGCGCAGCGGCGGCTTGTCGGGGGCCAAAAGCTGGACCCTCTCGCCGGAATCGAGTTTCACCACCACGGCGCCGTTTTTGGCGGACGGGTTTCGGGGCGGCCCGGGGCGGGGGGTCCCGAAGTTGCCCGGGACCGGGCACTGAGCCGCGTAGTCGCCAAGCCTGGTCATGTTAAGGCAGCCACAAAAGAACACAAACGGCCGGATCCAGGAGGTGGACGGGGCCGGGAAAGGCGGGCCGGGGGAAGAGGCTCGTTTTCGAGACTGCGGAACTACGGGGCAGTGATCAGAAGACTGCGTAGAGCGATACTCACGGACAGGAGCGGTGTGCTGTTGCGGGGTGTGTTTTCTGTTGGCACTGGAACACTGACCCGGGCTGGGCGGCTTGTTTCCATTGCTGCGAAATGGCCCCAAAACGGTTGCACGCGCGGCACGTGACACGCACGTGACCCCTTCCGGTCTGCACCGGCCTGCACCGGCCCGCCCTGACCCGGCCCGTGCTGCTGCCTGGCCGTTTAGTGGAGCGGGCCAGAATTGAATGGCCTGAAAAATCAACGGGGTGTCTGATCTTGACTGGTGTTTCCGGCGGAGGCCCCACGGTCACGTGCCGCAACATCCACCCCAGCCGCGCGGCTTCTGTGCAGTGCTGGAACACGGCTTGATTTCACAGACTGGCCCTTATCATTCCAAGGGTGTGTGCGCGTGAGGCCCGACTTTGAGCCAGGCCTAGTTTAAAGCTTCGTGGTTTGCCGGATGGAAAAAAGATTGATGCCGGTGTTGAATGGGCTTTTGTTCAGTTTTGGTAAGGAAGCCCAGAAGTTGAAGGTATCCTTGTGAGTCAAAGGTCCTCGTCCGGGTGGCGATATACAGTAGTCCTGTAGTATGGGTGTGGTCTACGTTCAGCAGCCGTTTGTTAAATTACGGCGGATAGATGAGCTTTTCAAATATGGGGCGGCATCGAACCATCCAGTGCGAGTCCAGCACCATGCCATGAATCCGTGGGGCCAATGGTGAGTTCTAGACTTTTGGTATTTCTCTGGGCATGGACGCATAGTTTTACTTTAGGTCCCGCTAAATGAAATGGAATTAGTAATCGCCCACGGAGCTCGCTCCGGCAAACTAAAAGGGCCATCCGAACTCCTTCATATGGAATGTCTACATACCACCTTTCCTTTGAATACAAATCACAGTATTCAGGATAAAGCCAGAGCGCCCGGGACAGACCGGTGCTTATATCGAGCTTACGGCCTCAAAGAAAAAGCCGCTTTTCATCGTAACTGTTTGCGTGCATGTACATTCATATACACTGCAACACCAACAGGCAAATTCAGAGGAGCCCTGCCAGGCTTAAGCTCCCGTGCCGCTGAGTCTGGGCATAGTATATCATAGATAGTGTATATGGTGGCAGAGTGGCAAGAGAAAAGAGGGCCAGTTGAAACCTGGATCGTGTGACTGTTTTGGGTTGTGTTTCGTACCGAAAAACGTGGAGTTGGGTAGATCAAGTTCAGCTGAAGTCAATCTCATCGATAATGGTGATAGAGAAGATCAAAGCAAAATCAGTTCAAAAGCGAGAGATCTACTGAAACTGAATTGTAGCCACGTCGTTTTGCTTTCCTGCGCTCACCAAGATCTAGGCTGGGCCGATTCCATCGTGTCTCACACAAGACCTATGTTCCGTGAAGCTCGCTTTTTCTGAAGTTTTTAAGAACTGGGTAAAAGTTGTTTTCTTGGGGCTTGATAACTTTCATGTGCCGTCTGAATCGAGAATTCACTGGTGCTAATACAAAGGCACTCAGGTACAGCCAACAAACCTATCTCATTATTTGATGTCGTACCCAAATGGTACCGACTCAGCAAGCAAGAAACATCTACAGTATCTTAATGCAATGCTGCAAATTAGCATCCCGGCTCGGATTTCCAAAGCCCGGAAACTCTTGTGGGGATCTGATGATCCAGCCTGGAACAGGCTTGTCCGCATCACGTGACGCGCTTATCCGGAATCAACGAGAAGGCCCATGAGCATTTTCACAGCAATAATGGCACTTATTCAGACACCCTTCTCTAATTCCAGTCCGGAGTGCAAATGCTAATCATGATGCATCTATAGAAAAAAAAGATAGTCATCTCGGACAAGGCTTGTATTGTCATCAGCACTACTTCGATATCTCACGGCCGCGGTTCTCACCTCTACACCAGACCTGGGCTCAGCGAACCTCTAAGCCTCACAGAAGATTCCACCAGTCCAACATCACCCGGGCATTTCGGCACACACACCTTGCAGAAACACCCCCTCGGTGCATGAAAAGCGGCCAGAAGCACTGGTTTTGACGTTCTTCTCCCAAAAACGCACAGGGCCCCTTTTTTCCCGACAGAAATACTCCATCTACAATGGGATCTGCCACTGCTGATGTGCTTGAGTCACAGACATACGTGAGCCGCGTGTGTGTCGGCCTACTTTTGCAGGAGCTCGTGCCGACATCCGTGCGCGTGCTGCTGCGGCTTTCCGAAATGAAATCCGTGGAGAAGTCGCCAAGTGGCGAGGCCCAGACCAGAATCGATACCCCGCTTTCCAGCATTGTGGGCGACATGCCGGGAACGACGGCGGTTTTTGGCAGTGAGCTTTTGGACTCGGAAGATGTCGTGCTCCGCGTCGAGAAATACGGGTTTGACTTGGGCCTCCGGCTTACGGAGGTGTTGATGTATAAGGCGGAGACCAAGCAGAAGATTGTGGATATTCTCGAGGTGATGAAGTTCATATGCCGCGACGCCTGGCGGACCTTGTATGGAAAGCAAATGGACAACTTGCGCACCAACCACCGGGGCACGTTTGTGCTCATTGATAACCAGTACAAAGTCACAGCAGGCTTCAGCAGCGAGAAGGGCAAATCTGACGCCGTGGCAAAGGCCCGCGCGTACACGTATTTACCGTGCGGGATCATCCGCGGGATTCTTCTGAGCTTTGGCGTCGATGCCTATGTGTCTGCAGACATTGCGCAGTTTCCTTCGGTGGCATTCAACATTCAGACGACCATCAACAATTAGTATTTGGACGGGCACGGACGGGAGTAGTAGAGAGCACGTAATTACAAGTCATTTTCGTGCCCGAACGGCCCCGAAAACGGCACTGGTAACTCATGCCCATAGAAGTATGGATAATGTGAGTGTGCAAGGAGCATATCGGGGAAGCCAAAAAAGCGTCTTGCACAGGCAATAGTTTGTCGCTGGCTGTGACAGAAATGGACCTGAGTGAAAATCCAGAGATCAGCCTGCAAACACTTCCAATAAATTTAGTATTACCAGGGGTGTGTTTCTGAAGGCACGAAGGTTTCCAAAGTACGTGCAAATTGTGTCCCTGCCCAGGTCTGAGGAATGCTGCAAAATGTGCTACTTCATTGCAGAAATATATCTGCGCCTGAAGTGGCGCAAGGGTGAGGATCGGAAACTGGCGTGGCAGACGGATTTCTGGGTTTGGTACATGTAGACTTGCATTCCTCTCCAGCCATCCCACAAGCCACAATATGGGACAAACAAAGATTCATCGAGGTCGGCTACTTTGTCCTCACATCGCGAGGCTCGTCGGAAGTTTGAGCTGCCTTCGTTCTTTGCGTCAGGAGCAAGACTTCCAGCAAGTGCTCGGAATTGCTGCATAGAATATGACGTTAATTAGAGATAACTCTGGATTGGGTCACTGCTTATCAAAGGAAGGTTTTCTCCGTCTCGCTGGCCAAGTATTGCTATAAAGCCCGTGTCTTGGGGTCTGAGCCTTGCCAAGTATTAGTCCTAGTCAACTGAGAAAAAAGAGCATATCTTTGCAAAGTTTGATTTTGTCTGCTCGTGTCTAGGAGGCAAAGAGGCAAGAAAAAAGCGCTAAACACTAACACGATAATGGAATCGTCCCACCGAAGCCGATGGCACCAACGTGGACATGAAATTTACAAGACTGAAGTGTAAAGAGATGGCCGTCTCGATGGTTCCGGCATACTCGATTAAAGTTTCTAGCTTGAGGAATAAAGTCTAGAGCTGGGCTGGTGAATGAGTCGCAGACCGTGATGTCGGAAGAATCATGCAGCTTCTAGAAAATCAGGTAGAAGCTGGCTTTAGAAAGCCAACTCCCGGCAGATTAAGCACAATCTTAGGCATAGACCGCCCGGAGCTTTGAAAGTGGCAGGTACAAAGACAATGTCATCTCGACACACGAACATGCCACGAGGAACATTTAAGCCATACCCCTTTATGGTTTTTGCTGCTTTTCTGGGGCCCCGAGAATATACAACCCTGAGCTGTTTGGGCCCAAAAATTTTAAGAATTGCAATGGCCTTGGAGCGCCAGGTTGAGCAGAGCAAAATCCCCTGGGTGCAAAATTTTGAGGAAGTCCAGGCTTTTTGCTTGAGGCAAAAGTACTTCACATGCCGGTTGAGACCATTGCAATATTGCCGGACCAAAAATTGTGAATTTCCTTGTTTTTCCAGGACTCCGTTAACTGTTGGCCGCGGCTTTTCATGCGTGGCCACATATCAGTATACATACTCGGACCGTAGACATACTTTAGTCAGCAGACATAGCAAGCATCACGATCTAAGAAGGCTTCTTCTTGTTGATGTGGATCAGTGGAATCCGACCGACAACTGAGTACAAAAGCAGCTTGTTTCCGAAATGACTGGACTGGCCTTCGTGCTCTTTATGCGGCGTCAAGCATACTGTTTTGTCATGTCGAATGGGTGTTGCAAAAGCCAGAAGCAGTCTAGTTCCTTTCATACGGGTAACCCCGCATCAGAATTGAGAGCAGCGTTAAAGTGTTGCTTGTATTCGGCCCAAAGTAGATCAACTGTGAACTGGTGTGTTGGAACAGTCTTTCCAGCATACCCGTTTTCCGTCTTAGTGATTTTTAAGTGACGTATAAAGAATTCCAACCACTTCAAGTAAAAGCCGTATGAAATGTAGTTGACTGCAGTCGTCTTGCATCCAGGCTCAGCAAAGTCAATTTTCCAATGGGTATATCTATTGGTGCTCACATCTTCGTGGATACATACAAACGACAAGTCTCTACTGCCCTCCTCCGCTAATATGCGCATGTGCCAGTGCACGTTTTCTTCTGTTTTCATCCACCATATCAATTGTGCCATATCCAGAACTAGGCCATCCAAGCCAAGCATAGGCCTGTTGAGCGATTAGTGGATAGACGATCCAGAAGCCCGTGTTCATACAGTGAGCTGGGAGATTGTCTGGCCGTACTTGAGAAAGGCCTGTGTTTGGGGTATATCCGGGGTTGAAGATTTTAAAAGTGTTTACCGGTGGATTAAAAAGAAGCTTGGTGACTTGGTCCGTGTTACTGTGTAAAGGTATGCTTGGAGGGATTGGAATTTTACTCTTGCTTTGTTATTGTGCTTACTCAAGTCAAGAGCTCACGTTCCCAGCCACTGTGTTGGCCACTGTATCAGCCCTATTATCACCAAGTATCAGCCACTGTATTGGTCCTATTAGCCCCATTATCACCCAAAATATCAGCCACAGTACCAGCCCCACTACCACCCAAAGTAACTGTACTACCCAAAGAACCGGCCCCCGTACACTGCAACGCCCACCGGGCTACTCACACCATTTCCCGCCTGCCATTCACGCTGCATCTGGTCCATCGCCCGGCGGTATTCTACGTCCCCCACTGGCGATAGACTACATGCCGCGTGCATGCGAATATAAGCGGCCTGCGTCTCCACCAAGACCAGCCAATGTGGCCCAACCCCCCGGAATTTCCAGGCATTGTCTCCCCACGCCCGCCGCCCAAACACACGGCCTGGCCCACACCTAAAAATGCCCGGCGCCACAGGAAACGTGGCAGATTGGGCCTCACCGGCGGGGCCGCCGGGCCGGCGCTAAGTGCAGGCCGGCCATCGCAAGCCATCCATCGCACACCGTGCTCCGATGCCTCGATCGCCAGACTTCTCGTACGCATGACCCCATGTTTTGCCGGCCCCGTACTCACGGCAGAGCGGCAACACCCCAGCCGCTTCGGCGGCACCCGCCAACCCGGCACCTCGCCCGTACTCCGGGCTCCCTCCAGGCCATGCTTGCTCCGGCCGTCCGCGAACAGGCGCAGGCGGTCATCGCCACTCTGCAATTGCAGATCGTCACACGCTTGCAGGCGGAACACACGCGGGCCAAGGTGCTGAACCTCGAGACGCGCACGCGGCTCAGCCACTTCCTCCAGGCCGTGTTTTCGGGCGACTACACGGCGGCCGGCGAGGTGCTAGGCCGCTTCCGAAGCGCGTGCACGTGGACCGGGGCCAGTGACAAGAGCGTGCCCATCTACACGTCGTGTTTCGCCACGCTCCTCACGCAGGCGTGCCGGCCGGACAAGCGGATGCCCACCATGCTGGACCTCACGGCGCTCGTGGCGGCCGCAGAGCGTCTCCCGAGACGCGTGGGCCTGGCGGCGCAGTCCCCGCACCCGACGCGGATCCGCTGTCTTGTCGTGCTCGTGCTTCTCCGGAAACTCGCGGCCACGCCGCCGGCAAACCGCATCGCGCACGTGAATCTCGTGGCGTACATCCGCGGGCTCGCGGCCCAGTTTGCGTTGTCTGCGGAGGACGTGCTTGCGCAGTTGCGGGCCCTGGGGCCGGGCCTTTTTGCGCAGTTCAACCAGGTGTTCCGGCGCAACGAGCGCGGGCCCGGGCCTGCGGACGAGGTCCACGTGGCGCTCCGCAACGCGTTGGACGCCTTGAGGGACGACGAGCGCTCGTTGTCGTTCGACGCGCTCTGCACGTTTTTGGAGCGCCACTCGTTCGACGCGGCCGGCTTCTCGCCGCGGCCGACGGCCAAGTACTACGAGATCTTCGACTCGCTCAGCGGCCAGGCCAGAGCAGACTTTCTCGACGCGTACCTCTCGTACAACCACAAGAAACAGCTTTTGGTCGAGGACGCGTCGCAAAACGTGTACCGCGCCGTGTCCAGCCTGCGGCGCATGGTGGGGTTCACGGCGCTCCACAAGGCGTGGATTGCGGCCTGGCTCCAGGCCGCCAACGGCCACGTCCAGCGGCTGGTCACCTCGCGCGCCGACCTCGAGAAGTTTGCCTTCGTGTTCAGCTACTTGTCCGTCGAGCACGTCACGTCCTTGTGCCTCACGCACATGCTCTCGGCCACGGTGCTTGCCCCGCACGCAAAGGCGCTCCACCTAGCGTCGCGCATCGCCTGGTCGCTCCGGAAGGAGTTGGGCCAGGCCGACAAGGTGGTGTTCTCGCCGAAGAACCAGGACTTGGTGTTCGGCGCCGACCACGCCCTCGAGCTTGCGTGCTCCCTCATCAAGATCCTCATCCAGAGCTGCAGCCTCCCCGAGTCGAGCGCCATCACCAGCCAGCTCGATGAGCTGTGGGCCGGGAGGGTGTTCCAGTTCGGCGTTGCGCATGGCGAGGCGGACATGCCCAAACTCTGGCGTTTGGGCACCGTCAAGATCCATCCGGTGGTGGCCGAGCACTTCAGGATCAACCAGGAGCTTTTCCAGACGGGCGAGTACCGGTTGCCCATGATCCACCCGCCGAAGCCCTGGAAATCGCCACGCGACGGCGGCTTCTTGTCCATCCGTCTCCCCTTGGTGAAGTCCTCCGAGCCCATGACCTCGGACGCATACATGGAGCAGGCCCACCAAACAGGCCAGTTGACCTCCGTGTACCTGTCGGTGAACGCGCTCGGCGCGTGTGCCTGGACAATCAACGGGTTCACGCTAGCCTCGTTCAACGCGTTGTGGGATCGGCCCAACATCCGCGCATTGCTCCCCAGCTTAGCCCCACGCCTCCAGGAAAACCTCCCCCAGCCCTCCCGAAATGCCTTCCCTGACGACCACAGCTATCAGCAGGCATTGGCCAAGTGGAAACACGTGGAGCTGGAGAACAGGAAGAAATCGCAGGACGCGCAGAGCTTGCGCATATACTACGGCATGGTGAAGAGACTCGCCAACAGTTTGGCAACAAACGGCGAGATCATTTACTTGCCCCACAACATGGACTTCAGGGGCCGCGTGTACCCCGCCGTGTCATTACTCTCGCACCAGAACGAGGACTTGGTCCGGTCGTTGTTGATGTTCTGGGAAGCAAAGCCGCTTGGCCCCGACGGCTACAACTGGCTCGTGTACCACCTTGCAAATCTTTACAACAAAAAGAAAATGACCATGGCGGAGCTGAAGGAGTTTGTGGAGCAGCACAAGAACCCCATAAGGGAATCGGCCGCAAACCCTCTCGCAGAGGATGCTTGGTGGGTTCGAGCAGATACCCCATGGCAGGTCCTCGCATTGTGCAATGAGCTCGACAAGATTTGGGGGTATTCGGGCGACATCTCGACGTTCAAAAGCCGAATCCCGGTCCATCAGGATGGATCATGCAATGGGCTTCAGCATTACTCGGCCTTGGGTGCCGACAAGGAAGCTGCCCGGGCAGTCAACATTTTACCTGACGAAAAGATGCAGGATGTTTACACCACAGTTCTTGGCTTGGTAGAGTCAAGAGTTGAAAAAGACAGGAACTCAGCCAAAGAGCTGGACCAAGACTTGGCACGCGAGGCCAAGAAAGTCTTGTCTCGAAAGCTCATCAAGCAAACCGTGATGACTACCGTGTATGGAGTCACGCCTTATGGAGCGACGAGACAAGTTCAGAAACAGATCGCCGATATCGCGCAAACCGGCTCTGCAATATCAATCCCGGAAAGCAAGCAACTTATGCTTGCCAAGTTCATCTCTCATCACACTCTAGAATCAATCTCTAATTTGTTCGCAGGTGCCAAGCTCATTCAGCACTGGTTGGTCGATAATTGTGCGCGGTGCATTCAGGCCTTCGACAAGAAAGATTATCCCCGTGACGAGAACATCGATTTTTTCGGTGGAAAGCACTACAGGCCCATGATGTGGACATCGCTCTCGGGGTTTCCTGTCATACAAATGTATCGCAAAAGACAGATTCGGGAACTTGTCACGCCCTTGCAAAGGTTGTGCTTGAACGATGACACGCAGCTCGCCCCCATTGACGAACTTAGGCTGAAGAATGGCATTGCTCCAAATTTCATACATTCGATCGATGCCATTCATCTTCTTATGACGTGCTTGGGTGCCAAGGCTGAAAACATTACATTTGCGTCTGTGCACGACAGTTTCTGGACTCACGCTGGTGAGGTGGGGGTTCTTTCAAGGGTTATACGCGAAGAATTTGCTCGCTTGCACAGCTCCAACATAATCGAAAATCTTCGCCAGGATGTGAAGCACATTAACCGGAACAGCCATCAGCTTGTATGGGCCAATAGGAAGCACGACGAGCGTTTTGTCACCGATTTGGTTGACCTTCGAAAGACCTATGAATCTACCCACAAAAAGCTAGAGAGTATGAAGAGTCTCAATGCCTGTCTTCGTGTTGAGCTTGAGGACAATCTGAAGGTGCAAGCGTTGGTTGAGAAACACACACCAAGACTTCTATGGCAAATGTCGAAATCCGGCCTGCCGGTGGTGTATGGCGAGAATCCCCTGGACATCACAGAACACGAGCGAATCAGCCCGAAGACGCATGTCCCGGTCTTGGTGCCGGTGAGGCTCCTCAAGGCTCCAGCCGTGGGCACGCTTGACATCCAGTCTGTTTTGCATAGCACGTACTTCTTCTCATGAACGCAGTATGCCACTACTCCTGCTCATCGATCATCCGCTGTAGCCTGCCGAATATCTTGTCCCTGTGGATGGCCATTTCGTCGTCATCCTCGCCCTCGAAGAAATGCTGCCTTTCGTACGCCTCGTCCGCAGAGTCTTCATCCTGGCGCAAGAAGTCGACTCTGCTCGCGCCGTGCTCGTCGAAAAACTCGTCATAGAGATCGTCGAACTGCCGCTCCTGCACGAGGTCTGCCTGGACGTGGCCCTGGACGTACGCGTTGCCCTCGGCGTCCTCGGCCGAGTCAATGATCACGGGGCCAATGTTTTCGTCGTAGTCGTCCTCCCCGTCGTCTGCCTGCGGCGGCTCGTAGGTGTCACTGTATGTGCCTGCATCCTCGTCCTCGGGGTAGTCGTTCTGGTAGAAGGACTCTGCGTTGGAGTCCTCGTCGTCCAGGTAGATCTGCGTGCGGGCCTTGTTCTCGTCGTCGGACTGCATCAAGTCATATTCGTCGTCGTCGAAGAACCGGATGTACCCGATCTGCGACAGGGGGTAGTTGCCATCGGTGAGCGGCTCGGTGGTCGAGAGCTTGTACACGTCGAACACGTATTCCTCCACGGCGTCGTCGGTGTCCGTTTCGCCGGGCACTTGCTCAGCGCCGGAGGCCAGGCCTGCACCCGATGCGTTCAAGGCCCCGCGCCGCCTCCGTTTTGGCGGCCCGTCGTCGGAGACTTTGAGGAAGCTGTCGAGCATTTCCGCGAGCTCGTGCGGGATCGCGGCGTCGTCTTCGGACGCGGCCTTTGGGATGACAAAGCGGCGCTTGTCGCGCGACGACGCTGCTTCCGCAAGAACCGACGCTAGCACTTCTGCGTCGGGCGCCGCCGCCTGGTTATCTGTGTGTGCGAGCTGGAAGTACCAGCTGCGGGCCTCCGGGACCGGGGTGCGGGGGTTGGACGAAATGGGCGACGACGGCTTGGACCGCTTGGTGCGCTGCGCGTCCTCCAAAATCAAGGCCTGGAGCGGGTCCTGGCCCCTTTTCCGTTTGATGCGGAGCACGTACGGGGGCTGGGACATGGGCGGCTGTTTGTGTTGCGGAGCGTGGGGCGGGTTCGGGTACGGGAAAGCCTTGGCGATAGCGAGCACATGGGCGTTTCCGCTGTATATGTCGGACCCGTGAATCCAGCGCGTGCGGAGGAGTAGGGGTGTTTCTGGAGCAGGGCTGGTGGCGGCCAGCTGCCCGTGGGACGTTTTTTTTTCTTCATGTTTTCTTTTTCTTATGTCAGGGCGCTGTAGGTTTCGTGGCTGCATATCTCTGTGTTTGTCTTGTATACCCCGTAGCGGCACAAAATCTAAGTTAGTCTTGAGTGGCTCGATGTGGGGTAGATTGGGGCGAGGCCCTGTAGTAGCTTCTTCGTATTCCATGAGTTGTCGCGATTTTTGGCTTTGTGCCCGAAAGGTTTAGAAATATGTGTTTCCAAGGCCAAGACGACCAATTATGACTTGCTGGTTATAGTGACAGAGCCGATCCAGCGGTAGCAATAGTGTTTGTTCCCATATAGTCGAGTTTTCTGCAAGCTGTTTCTGACAGATCAGCTTATGTGGCAAGGCAAATACCAAGCAGTAAGCTCCAAATGCTTTTAGGACGTGCTGGCAATTTCCATTCAGATAAGACTTTTTAGCTGGGTCCTTTTCGTGGCTTTCTGTCATCTGTGTGCATGAGTCTTTGCCGCTGGCAAACCCCGCCCGTAACACACACAAACCCCGGGAAAGGATATGAACTTTTAACTGCCAAAATTTGTGATTATGACTCAGAAGTATAGCGCTATGAAACAAGCCAAATCAGACCGGAAAGAATGGCTCGTGATCCCCATGTATGGGCGCGTATTTGCAACCAGTTCTATCCACGAAACTCTAAACATACAGCGGGCCCGGGCGGTGCACAAAATTTAGCTCAGCGTCCAAACCAACAGTTAAATTGCAAGATGAATGAGTGGATCTTGCCTGATGCTAAGAAGAAGTGGCGAAACCCGAAGCACATCAAGAAGACTGCCTTGGTGAGTGCGCGGCTATACATTTTCTCAGGTGACTAATATAAAATATGAGATCATCGTGCATACCCGTCTCTTTTGGTAAAGGAGACTATTCAGCTTGATCACAAAAAACAATCAAAATCACAAGAGTTGAAGTGTACTTTGGCTGGCCACAGAACGATGGTCGTCATTGTGACTAACGTAAAACTATTTAATGCCATCTGCTTCGTCTAGTAGAGGAGGCAGTGCAGACAGACCATTCATTAAGAGGAAAACCAGAAAGTCATCTACGTTCTCATTCTGCCTCTAACTGCAGATTGGCGATCGAAACACAAATGACTGATAGAAAAGTCCGGTATGTGACAAGAACATGCTTCGAAGACAGACTCACGATTTCTATCCAATACAGCGACGCCGAAACTAGTATTGATTAAGGTGCAGGGGCATGAAGAACTTATGACTATTGTGAAATAAATGCATCGAGTACCCAAACACGGTTCTCGATACGAAAACCACGTTTCAAAACTACTAGTTACATACCCGATCAAGGTATAGAATATATCTTTCGGCAAAAAAAAGATTGCAGCACCACAATTTCGCATATGGTCTCCCACTACACTACTCAGTATGGCCCTATGCAGCTTAACAAACGTTGATCGGACGGGAAACAGTGCTTCCTGCATGGTATGGCCGCAACCGGTAATCGATTTTGAAGATAGTTTATAGAGTTTAAAGAACTAGTTTTTTGATTTCGTCAATTGATCAAACTCAGGAAATGGCATAACCTCACAATACAATATTGCCTGACACTAATTCTATACAAGGAGCTATTCGAATGCATAGTAGGCTCAAAATGGTGTTACAGCCATCAAAAGTCAACCCCCCCTCTACAATGAGTGTGCTATTATGCACTTTTGGTGGCAAAAGATCGACTTTTAATCTCCAGTGCTCTTAAAGAAGATATCAGCTTCGTTTTTAGATACTTCCTTGGACAATCGAAGAAGCCTTAATTGGTCTCGTAGGGCTTATTTCCTCAGGGACCAGGACGCAAAGACAAATGTACGTCTTGCCGCCTTGTCAAATGAACTTTGGTCACGGGCTTGTAGGAAGGCGTGTCTCACGAGGCGATGAAATACAATTTAGTTATTCAAGTGGTTGACAGTGGTTATAGGCAGAAGTCTTTTTGAGGGTCACAATCTCTTTTGGAGATTTCGTGAATTTGTGCTCGCGCCTTCTCACCTGAGCCAATGTTGCGATCTATTATGGGATCTTCTTGCAAGGCCTTCCTTAGTGATGTTGCTTTATATCAAATTTCTTTGAAAAACATTCTAGTCGAAGTAGAAATGAGGCAATTTTTTTGTTGTGAACGCATGCCATTGGCACCCGAAGACCTTGTATTGTCTCTTGTTCAATGAGTAAAACAGGAATAGTTTCTAGGATAAATGCGGACTCTGTTTACAAGGTTGTGGTGTATCTCCGGATCCCTTCGATTAGCAATACTCTTTTCAAAAATAACAGGCTCGTTGCGAGGCTTCAAATACCGGAAAAATAAAAAAATACGGCAAAGCCACTGGACTAGTGCCAGAACTAAAGAGCTAACTTGAGTGGAAAATGGTCCCTCTATATCACTTTTGGTACATATCGTGTTTCAGCCGTGAGTTTTCTACTGGAATTGCTGCTGTTGCTATCTCCAGGTCGAAACCACAATCGACCAATCGATCCTCGTCCGTATAACAGCGGCTTAGACACCATAGACAACAATACGAACTAAGAGAGGCACAGGTTCGGTTTTCATTTCCAATGCGTTGATTTACTAGAAACAAGTGCGTTCTGAGAGAACCGTCTAGGCCGTAATCAACAAAGTATTGTGCTGGGTTTCGACAAGCGGTACGTACTTGGGAGCTGGGAAGATATTTTCATAAATTTTATTTATAGTTTCATGCTTTTAATCACATTACTCTTTCAAAAGCAAGAAACTTCGGCTAAGCTTATATGAAATGTGGTCTGGTAGTGAAGGCTTTGAGGATTAGAGAAATCTGGTTGGTTAGTGGCCCCATATTCGAGGTATGCATATATGGCAAGAAGAATTATTTTGGATTCTTTGGATCATTTTGAATTGAGCCATGTGCAAAAGGAGACTCGTCGTAGAATTTGATGAAGAAGGACGTAGCACTCAAAATGCTTGCGAGAGGGACCGTATAGCTTGTGATTAACGGAAAGGTAAAGATCATGTTTTAGCATCAAGTACGTATGTGAGAAGTGGTAAAGGAAACTTTTACTATTCTGAAGTTTTGTCTTTTTATTTAGTCGAACTGAAACACAGAAAAGCACCTAATGATTACACAGGTTACATTGAACAAAGTGAGATACGGCTTTTTATTGTGCAGTGAGTTTGGGAACCGAGTGAAGGTTCTCACGTAAAAGCTTCGATGACATTTTTGATAACGCTTCTTAAGAAGGCAGCATTTAACAAATTGTAAGGCGCCATGCGAGTGAACTGGTAGAACGTAGCTTCATGGCCGTTTATCAGCCCAAGATCACATGATTGTACTCACGCCAGGACAGATATGGAATGGGGCAGCAAATATCAGCCGATTCTCAGTAGTATTGGCTGGTCAAGCCTTGCACGAGATCATAGAGGGGAGTGCGTCTTGATGCCGCATGGACTTCAGGAAAAAGATCAGTGCAATGACACGTCACTCAAATGAACATAAGAAGAGGCTTGGTCAGCTTCGTAAAAGGAGTGCTGGCGCTTCAAAATTTTTGCAAGTACATGCAGACGTGTTTCAAAATCTCGAAGCTGTTTTGGATAAAGGCATTGGTTGGACTCTCAGTTCCCAAAAATCAACTTCTCGGAGTCACTGCTTGTCTGGGGAAAATGATGCTCATTACACTCTTTGTCCGTTGACAGAGTCACGATGACAGGCAGAAGCTGATCTATCTGTGAGTATGGTTCCCTCAAATCTGCAAGTTAGCTCGTGTAGCCGACGAGGGGTAGTTGCAGATAAATTCACACTTTCATGGGTTTGTGTGATTATTCCTGGAAAATGGGCGAGAAACAAGAATGAGACAAGGGGTCAGAGAAGCAGTAAGGAATGCACTCCTAGAACAAGAGGGAGAAGTAGCGATCAAAGAAGTGCACGGATTGACTGTACTCAAGAGCCGTCAGTTGAACGAATCCCAAAGCAGCTTGAAGCCCCCAATATTTGTCTTGGAAATTTACAAGGCCGAGACTATGAGCTCAGGGCAGGGCTCGTGGAAGATCGTCCACAAAAAAGCTGCTTTGTCCACAGGGTTCGTAGTTTCACTCCAATAGTCAGAGTTGCAAGCTTGTCGCCCGGTAAAAAGTGTGTTGACCATTCACAGAAGGACATAGAGTTTCGATGCTTCAAGGCCATTTCCACCCACTCTCCACCGGCTCTCCATTTTCCATTTTCCTTCTCACCATTTCTCCATCCTCTTCAATTTGTCGTTTCTCCCATTTCCTCCGTGTACTCAATTCCCCCATTTTCCCGCTCTCCGCCCCCCTATTTTCCTATTCTCCATTCTCCCATAAGTCGTGTCAGCCCTCACTGCGGAAAGCCTCCATTCTTTCGCAGCCCGCCTATACCAGGGCCGCGCATGGGCGTGCACACGGCGCGGCACCAATTGCCGCAAAAAAACAAACCCACCAGCTCCAGACCCAAAGCCTCGTCTCGCCGCACTTTTGCACCCAACACTCGCTATGGATACGACAAGCTTGCTAATCTACCGGGCCAACCAGGTGCTCCACAATTTGTCGCAGTATCTCATAGGCCACCGGCTCGACGCCGCACGTGACTTTGTGCTCATCACCGGCGGATGCTCCGGCTTGGGCCGCGAGTTGGTGGCCCGCTTGCGCCTCGAAAACATCCGCGTGGCCGTGTTGGATATCCAGGATATCCCCGTGTACGAGCGCTGCGAGGGCGTGTACTACTTCAAGTGTGACATCAGCAGGGTCGAGGACTTGAGGCGCTGCCGCAAGGTGATCAAGCTGGACCTCGGGCCGCCAACCGTGCTCATCAACAACGCGGCCATAGCCTTTGGCAAGAACATTCTCGAGCTGACGTTCGACGAGGTGGACCGCGTGATCCGCGTCAACCTCATGCTGCACTTCTACACCACCAAGGTGTTTTTGCCGGACATGATCGCCAACGGGCGCGGCTACATCGTCACCGTGGCGTCCGTGTTGGGGCTCATTTCGCCCGCGCAGTTCGCCGCGTACGGCGCGTCCAAGGCCGGCTTGTTTGCGTTCCACGAGTCGCTCACCTACGAGTTGGGCCCGCCGCTGAAGTCGCAGTACGGCGTCAAGACGCTCCTCCTCTGCCCGGGCCACTTGAAGACCAGCATGTTCCTGAGCATCCTGACGCCGCTGGCGTACTTGGCGCCGGAGTTGGACCCGGCCATGGTGGCCGCGCACCTCGTGGAGGCGTTGTACTTGGGCCGGCGCGGCGAGATCAAGATCCCCATCTACGCGCGGTTCATCCCGGTGCTCCGCGCCTTCCCGTGGTCCTTTTCCGAGGCTGCCCGCACCACGTTCCGCTTGGACAAGAGTGCGCAGCTGTTCCGCAACGGCATCTACACCAACACGGCCGGCATCGAGTCGTCCGCGGCCGTGTCGAAGTCGGACGCCACCTCCAAGTCAGGCTCCACGTCGAAGGAGAGCGCGCTCGTGCCCCGGCTCGCGTCCGCCAAGGCCTATCACACCAACTCGTTGCTCAACTCACTCATGCGGGACAAGTCGTTCAACACCCACATGGCCAGCCGCCCCGCGTAGTCCAAGCACACCTCTGCCGTTATAGCAATAGAAGAAAGCTGCGCGACCCGCGCCTGTTCCGCCTTCATCTGAGTGTAGAGCTGCTCGACGTGGCGGCACCCAAAGAACGCTAGCACGCCGTGCTCGCGCACGTGCACACGCAAGCTGTTGAGCGACGTCAACGGGCCGCGTGTGTCCAGCAAAAGGAGCTCGAACGGGCGCACGCACGGATCGCCCAAGACCACGCTGCCGTTCTGCTCCACGTACGGCTTCACGCACACGAACGTGAGGTCCTCGGGAAACGTGCCCACGATCCTGGTCCGCACCTTGTATACACGGCGGTCGACGTGCCGCGGTAGAAGTAGTAGCTGAGCGAGCGACACGGGCTGTCCTGCTGCTTGCGCCGCGTAGATTTCCAGAAGGGCCCTGCTGGTGCTGGGAAGTTCCGGCAGGCGCGTCTGCATAAGGAGCCCGGGCGGCAGGAGAGGGTCGGATTTTGGGCCTTTGGGGCGGCGCTGTGTCTGGGGCTCGGGCAGGGCTCCAAGCTCACCGTCGTGCAGGCTCTGGCTGGCAGGGTCGGGCACCTGCGTGAGTAGCTCTGCGGGCTGCAGCAGCGCTGGCGGGCCGGTGTGGCCACGGCTTCCATATCCGGGAGGGCCGCCGTTTTCGAAGGAGCTGTTCTTCTCGAAGAAGCCTCCATTTTTGGAAGAGCCGCTGCTTTTGAAGGAGCTGCCTTTCTCGGCAGAGCCACCATTCTGGCAAGACCCAACGTTTGGGGAAGAATCGCAGTTTCCGAAGGGACTGTTTTTTTCGAAGGGACTGTTTTTTTCGAAGGGACTGTTCTTTTCGAGGGGACTGTCCTTTTCGAAGGAACTGCCTTCTTCGAAGGGACTGTTTTTTTTGAAGGAACTGCCTTCTTCGAAGGAACTGTTCTTTTCGAAAGAGCCTTCATTTCTGAAGGAACTGCCTTTTTCGAAGGGACTGTCCTTTTCGAAAGAGCCACTATTCTTCGAGGAGCAACTTTTTTTGGAGAAACCGCCTTTCTTAGAAATTCCACCGCTCTCCAAAGATTCACTGCTCTCCAAAGATCCATCGCTTTCCAAAGATCCACCATTATCAAAAGAGCCCCCACAACTGTCATGCCTGGGCGAGCCCCCACCATCTGTCGGAAACCCGCCGCCTATGGCGATCTTGTCCGTGTTTGCCAAACTCATCTCAAAGCGCTTCTGAGCCTCCATCGCATGCTGCTGCGCCTCCGGACTCGTCTCTGTGGTCTCCACCTTTACCTCAGATTCCTCCGGCCACTCGGGTTCCTGCACTCCCATCGATTCTGCTCCATCGGGCTGGGCTTCTAGAAGCCGCTGCTCGTCAATTCCCAAGGCAGACCCAATGATGCCAAGAGCAACAGTCCTATTCACCAAAACACGTCTTGAAACGGCCTCCGAGAATCGCTGCCAGAGCAGAGAGGTGTGTTCCGAGGCCTGTGTTAGAAGCACTGCCCTGGTCACTCCTGGCGGCTGGCCAACCCAGGTCTTGACCCTCAAGTTCGCAAAAAGAAACCCGTGGAAACAGTCGATCCAGCCGCACGTGTTCTCGCCCACGTCGCTGGGCTCAAAAACCGCCCGGCACGTCTGTTCGCGGTACTGTTCTAGAAGCAAGCTGAACATTTTGTACGGGATTTTGAGCATTTTCTTCTCGTCTGTGTTGAATTCAACACGCCCACTTGCCACGGGGAACGGCACCGGGCCACTGCGTGTGTAGTCGGTGACTTCTATGTCGTATAGTGTTTTACCTGGATTCGGCCTAAACGCGATCACGTGCAACGGGATCCAGTCCGTGGCGTAGCAATCTTCCAGAAGACTCTTGAATGTGTGCATCCCTTGGCCTGAGTTCCGTTTCTATTGAGTTGAAGCAAACAGGTTGCCTTGCAAAGGCCCTCTTTGGAATGTTCTGATAAGACTGGGCACCGGAACAAATCTGGAAGAGCGACTGCATCGCGCGAGTACTGCGTCCAGAGATGGATGGTTGAGTATACCAATTCGTGTATATATCTCGTCATACCATTTTTGAAGCTAGATGAAAGTAGTTGATCTACGGATGCTGATTTCATCTTGCGGCTGATATTTTATGCCGCTTTTATTCGAGTGGGTGGGTTTTGATCGCTTTGGCTCCATCACTACTGCCGCACCACTAATGCTTTCCGATAGAAGCATGTGGGTTTCCTTTTCCCAGCTCCGGGGTCTTCAAACATGCTTTACACAGCACCGAAAGCTTTTTCTCTGTTTTGTTAGTGCAACAAAGCCCGTTTGGAAATCAAGCCAAAAAAGTCGGGAGCGTGTTGATTCATCTCGTGCTGTTGCAACTGCAATGAATAAATTTTGTGGCTTATAGATAGTAGTTGAATAGTAGAGCAGCCCCCGAAGTTAAGTTTAATTGAATCCGAAAACCGAGCCGAGAATGGGACTCGGCCTGTCGTGCTTTTCGTGATCTGGGAGTCGGAATTTCCAGACTTTCCTGCAAGGACTTGTCTCACAGACAATAATCATCGAGTCAGCTTGAGTGTGCTAGATTCGGCATTCAATTTCAAAGAAGTACATAGCTAAACGGTGCAAGTCTTGCTGCGCTCACTATCATGGACCTTTGAAATCCACAGGAAGGATTCACTCTCATGCCAAGTCGTGGTGATATCTGCGGCAGATCTCCAAGGGTAAGTTCATTGATAGAATAATTTAGACAAAGTGAGTCGGCAAAATAGATTTGTGACGTTTGTCGATCCAGAAGATGAGGCTAAATAAGAAGGGGGAAGAATTCGTTCAGAGATAGCTTACTTGGGAAAGGCCCATCTCTAGTCTGTTTCTACCTCTGCTCACCCCCATTACCCACCCTCACTAACAATAATCTTGAGACTGGTACGTACAAGAGGAATCAATTAAAAAATAGCATTGCAATGGTCAGTAAATGATGTTGACTCAATATTATTTCTGCCGAGTGCTCTGAATGTCAAAGTGAAAAAGCTTAACCAAGCGCAGGTAATCGGCGGGAGTAACTGTGACTTTCTTAGGGTAGCCAAATGTCTCGTCATCCAATTAGTGACGCGCATGAATGGATTGACGAGATTCTCACTGTCCCTATCTACTATCTAGCGAAACCACAGCCAAGGGAACGGGCTTGGCAAAATAGACGGGGAAAGAAGGGCCTGTTTAACTTCACTCTAGTTTGACATAGTGAAGGGATGTGGAGGGCGTGGTATAGGTGGAAGCTTCGGATCCCATGAAATACTCCCACCCCTTTTATTTTACTCACAGGGTGAAGGTTTACCAGTCAAAAGACTACCTTCAAATATTTCATTTGATCAGCTCTAGACATCGCCTAATGGGGAGTTTGGTGAGGGCGGCACATCTTCAATTAATACTACCTCATTCAAAATACAACTTGCCCTTTTCCAAACTATGTCATGAGTGAAAAAGCACAGTAGTAAGAATGTTTGAGCATCCCATCAATTATAGTGGCAATATCGCCTATAGTGGCTAGACTTGAGTCGAAGTCAAGTCTTCGCCACTTTCTTTGCTCTCTTGGACTTCTGTTAGTTTGGTAAGCCATCTACTTTGCTTTTTCTTCGGACTGTTTAGCGGAAGGTATCTGCTAACTAAAATAAGAAAACACAGAAAGATCTGAGATCGGCTCCTCAAAAAAACCTTGTGGCACCGGTCTGCTGACTGCGTTAAGGACCAGTTCAAGTGTTTGCTTGATATGATATTTTGAGTATCATTCCGCACAAGTGTGGGAGATTTGAATTTCTTTCTCGGGGATCAAAGAGCTGATTCGAAAAAAGAATTCTCGACAGTTTACTGTTTGTATCTTTGGTGCGCTCTAAATCTGAGGTTTAGACTTAAAAAATTCTGGCCCTTGCACGTAGATTGAGAACTGAAACGGTGATATCAAAATTGTTTTTGTTGAACATACGAGTATCTAAGACAAATTTTGAAGAATGACCTGCTTTAAATTTCAATGTGCTTTTGCAAATTCTTGATGCTTTGATGCTGTCTCAAATATGCTAGACGGCTGGCATACGACAAAAATCCTTCTGGTCTCTGAAATGAGTCGCAGACTGAGACGAGGCGTAAAATTTGAAACAAAGATTCAACCGAATAAATTTGGCAAGTCAACCAGCTTACAATTTGCAAGGGAAACCAACTAAAGCAATTGTGAGATATCATATTTTGGGCATGTAACGTATTGTTATGCTTTTGCTGCTCATAATAAAAGCCTATGGTGGCTCTATCTCCAAGAGCCTTACAGAGCTTGTCGCTTAATTTAGATACACAGAATAACTGGCCTTGACAGATCATGCAAACCATTTTACGATGCGAGAAGCTACATTGGTATTTAAAGGGTTGGGAACAAGCTTCACCGCTTTTACCTAATGTTTGGAGTGCCTGATCTCTTCGTCATGTAGTCATCGGTAGTAGACCCAAATAGTAGTCAGTGTGTCACCATTTAAAAAGCGTATCAAGAGTGTCCCCCACATGCTCATTATTCATATGAGAGCTGGATGCAATAATCACGAGAGTCGACAAGCAGAAGAGTCTGAATAGATAATGTCATTATCTGGCTGAGTATCCTCAACCAAAATTCAACTATTTCCCAATATGCCATTAAATGCTTAGTCGAAATTTCGACAAAGAACAGCGTCATTCATATATATTTCCGGAATCCTGAGAGAACAAATAGGGATTTCATTCAAAACATCTAAGTGTCCGTCATACGAAAGGGGGTCAAGTTATGACCCTAATCCCGGTGTGCATGCACGTTGACTTGTGATTTGTTGAGAATCTGTATATCACGGTCATCCAGTTCATTCAGGGGCACGCACCCCAACCATGCAAAACAGTTGCCAATGAATTCAATTGCGGAAATTCTTCAATTTTGGTCTGAATAGAAGTTGGATTGCTTTACACACTACCTCAAGCCATTGCTTTGAGTTCAAACCGGGAATGTTTCTGTTTCATAGAAACGTTATGACATTTTTTCGACATAGCTTGCTTGAGCCCTGGTCATTTTGAACTCAACTTGGTTCGATATGATACAAAATTCAGTAGTATACTTTCCAGTTGCATCCTGGTTGTTTTCTTCAGAGTTAAGAATGTGTCTGAATACAGCACAGACTGTCAGAAAAATTACTACAACCTAATGTAGGTAGCTATTTTTGCTTCGTTGTCTTTCTCGCATCCGTGGGGCATTGATGGTTAGCATATAGTATTTTGAGTTTAAAAGTGTGTAATCCCGTTTTCGCAATGCACAAACAGTTCAAGGAACGGAGAATATGCTGCATGGCTCATTAGCCGAAGAATTGCATCCTTGGGTCACAGGCCGATTGCGGGTTTCTTTCGTTGCCTTCTGAACGTGCTAACCACAGAAAAATCGTCATGCTCAAAAAATTGGGGACTCAAGAGAGGATTTAAACATCCCAAAATCCAGCTGATACAAACACAGTAAGCGGTTTTCAATTTAAACTGCACATGTCTAGAATTATTTGGCTGAAACACACGGTGAAAGAAGACACTTATTTTATTGTTGAGAAGGATTCTTTCAGATTTTGGAAGCTGTGTATTTTATGCACCACATTCAGGATGGGCTGGCTCTGCAATCAATCTCACTGAGTAAAACGAGCTGTGCTCTACAAAATCCAGCTTGTTTAAGGAATCCATGGTTTTATCTTATACGTTTCGGCTCTGGGACATCGTCAAGTTGTGCGCCCGAAGAGCCTGATACACCGCGACTTGAAACTTGAAATCATTTTTGGAAAGATAGCCCAACAAACTTCTCCCGGTACTCAATCATAGAATATCAAAAAATTCAAAAGTTTGGGAGTGCGTCGTTACAAGTTGAATGTGAGAAACCAGAATACTTCATCAGATGTCTCCTTGATATACACTTATAAGTGAGAAGACAGTGTTTTATAGGGCTTGACTCTATTGTGCCTAGAGCTACATTTGTTTTTTTAACTACAGAAGAGATTCATGTCTTCATTTTTTTAATAATCGAAAAGTATCATTGCATCGGAGACAGCTTCAAGCCAATTAGAACTAGAAGATTTTTTGACAAGAGAGTCTCTAGCGGCTCAACCAGGACGTTCAGCAGATGGTACCAATCGGGTCATAAGTTTTAGAAGCAGGAATCCTATCTCGAGCAACTACATGACAGCTCTACTCTGATTAGGAAGTCTCTGGGCAGTCAAAACAATTACCTCAAACACCACTGCAATGCATACATCACAGCTGGACATTATGCTACCTACGGGGTAAAATGAAACAGTGTGCAATTATTACCCAGCCGTACTACGAATGGAATGAAGAGTGACTTTCTTGAAATTATCTTCTTCATGAATCAGTAATTTATCAGGCCACATCAAAACTCGTTAGGAGAGCCACACGAAAATTATACCCCGTCAGTAAGTGTGATACACTCGAAATGGTGACAACTGGAGCGAGCTAGTTTCGTGACCCTTTTGGAAGAGCTCTATTCCCCTTTTTCAGCTTTCAATCCGCCAAAGCAAGTATTGAATATAGTTCCATGTGAGAAAACCCACATTATTAGTTCACTGTTCGTTCAGCTTGTTCGGGTTTTTCTTTTTCAGGGCTGAAAACATTTTGGAATGCTCCAACCGAGAAAAGTGATTTGAAATCAAGAACAAAACCCGGCCGGTGACCTGCTTATAGACCCGAGGACTTGGACACACACGATCCTTGGGAGTAAGTGTTCAATGTTGGAGGAATTTAAGGATAACCTTCATTAATCCGTGCATGACAGGTCATTGTTTATGTAGCCAATATGTATAAGGCAGGCCAAAGTCAGAACTTTGTCAGGAAGATCGAATTGAACAAGTTAGGATTTCATCAAAGGTACTGGGCAAAAGCCAATGTAGCTTTCATAGGACCAGAACTCAATGCTCCACCATTCTCCACTTTTGTAACTTCTTCACTTGTGAAACTCAACGCACGTGTCACGGAAAGGTAGAAATTAAGAAGCGAAAATTTTCTCAAAGTAAGAATTCGAACAGTCTGTCTCTTCGTCAAGCTATGTTGCATTCGACAATTTTTAAACCTTTCAAGAGATTTTGAATAATTAAAATACTTTATAGTGAGGCATCTGATCAAAATTTTGAGAAAGTCTTTTGTTCTTGGATGGTCTTTCTTTTCTCCATCCTGTTAGCTCTCCTGAAATATCCACATTCGAAGGATGTCAGTTGTGTTCCATTGGTTCATCAAAACCAGCGATTTCCATAGGCAGGGATCCTGGTAAAAGAAAAAAAAAGAAAAAAAAAAGTGATGATGAAATTGTAGAGGGAATCCAATGAGCCTAAGTTTCAGCTACTAAATTTCTCATTCAATGCGGTCACCCGAAATCCGGTAGGGATGATCCGACTTTACACTAGTCTTCTTCCGAACAGTCACCAAATATTATTTTTTTTTTCGAAAGTGAACTATAATTTTATTTCTGAGTTATTGTTTGAGGAACTACTAAGGGCAAAACATTTTTGAATGATGATGCTAAGAAACTGCTGTCCAAGTATGAGTGCGCAAGCACTTTGTCTCGGTCCTGTTTAAAATGCTTTCCGTTTAGGAATGGTTCGCAGAGCAGGGAAGCGAGACATTAGGATATTTCCTTTTATTCTTTTAAACATTTTAGTCTCATTCGAACAGTATAACAAAAAATATCAATCTGTAATGAAGAATGCTTTAATGCAACCAAGTATGTACGGATGGCTTTTGTTCCTGCAAGCGGGCTTTTGTCTCTGTGCATAACGTCAAGGTCCAAAACAATATTCGAGAGAGTATTGATGAGGGGGCCTTGGATTTATAACTTTGTAGCAATAAATCAGGGAACATGAGGAAGATTTCAAATAGAAAAAAAGTAAAAAAGTCCCCGAAGTTGCTTCGCATGAGAACGTGAACTAGTTCATCTCAACCAATCATGATACGTGGGGTTTTTCTGTGGGGTAGAAAGAACAAAAGAATCAGAGGCCTGGATGCTAGTCAGTCTCTGGAAATGTTCTAACCTGTTATTGATCTCACATCATTCAAACCTAGGGTGTTTAAAATTGATGAAACATATTTATTCCAGAGCCCATACTCACCAAAGATTTTTTTTTGCCATCTTTCATTAGTGCAGGCATCTAAAATAATTATTCTTGAAGCATTAAGAAAACACTTTTCAAGCTTATTCGGGGGTGTTGAAAATTGGCCAAGAATACGTCAACACAAAAGCGAGATTTATTGCACCGCTTTGAATCACCTGAGTTGCAGCGTTCAAATCTCGAGGGTCAGGCGCAATTTCCCACGAACTTCTTTATATTTTTTTTTTGACCTCGAAACTAAAACAGATATATAATCAATAACTACATCTGAGTCATTTCTAATCTTGTTTCGAAAAGAAACTTATATGCCCGGCTCGAGAAATTCAAAGGCACAAATTTACGTATGCACTTCGTGCGTCAAGGTGCATGTTGTGAATTGCGAACAAGAATGAGTTCAATTTGTCATCATTATATCCTCTTCTTTTATTCAACTAAGACGTTCCAATAATCTTGTATGTAATTTTTTTTATAAATTCCGAATAAAAAGGATCACATATGTCTTGAAGCGGTATTTTTCGAAAAAAGAGCCACATACGCCCCTTCCAGATTGGAGCGTGTTAAGTTTCAAAGTGATCATATTTATGCAGCATCGTGCGTCATCCAATCAAATTAAAACCATTATTTTCTTATTGATGACAAAACTCCAAGAAACCCAGGCTTTGGGTTTACCGAATAAGGAATTTGACCGACCGGGAAATAGTCTGCAGGCTCTGCAAATATGAATTTCGTATTGTCTTTATGTTTTGAGCTCCGCTTTGAGTTTCGCTCAAAGACCGGTCACACTGCTTTCAGTTATCGCGCTTTCAAAAAAGTGTATGTTACCGTTTTTGGATAATTTACTTGAGGTACAAATATAAATTACGGTTTTATGTCGAGTACACTTACAAAACTTGATGTTAGCAAAATCGAATATAAGCTCTGTTCCGAGAATTTTTTGTCAAAATCTGGGTTGAGCTGAACGGATGTGGGAATACTTGTGAATATCCTCGGTCTAATGTTAAGGCGGCCTTCAGCAGAGAGCAATCTGGTGCCGAAAGCTTTTATTTTGGTCGGAATCGTGCGACACTCACCCTCTAAATTGAACCATCGAAAGCACGCTATAAATGTTACAATCTTCTCTCCTTTAACCTTTGAATTCAACTATGAACAATTTCGACTCCTCAGATTAAATAAGATGCGATCGGTTGAATGACGGAATGAATGTTTGTGCTGAGGACGTAGAATCATTTTCAAGTGACCTATTGCGGAATTTGCCCAACTAGCAAAATTTTTGCGACTATGTATAATAACGTTCGCAGAATAGCTTAAACCAGTGATTGGCTTGTCTTCCATTGTTGCTTTCACATCTCTATTTACCCTTCCATCCTCTTGCACGGACATAATCAAAATATCGGAACTACACAATACATCAAAAAACCCATATTCGAGCCCTTATAATCTCGCACACAATGAACATAGCTCTGGCCCGAGATCTTTCTTAAGAACACGTCGTATCAAATCATTTGTCGGTTGAAGTTTTCAATCTTTTAAACAGATTGCATTGGACGTGAATTGTTCAGTTTTCAGCATATTTTTACTTACTCAAGCAAAGCCTGTCACATTTTCTCTGCATACGATGTCTGAACACACAGACGAATTCAAAGAAACACCCTGGCTGAAAGCATCATCCAAATTTTTTATCTCAAGTCTCGCTAAGAAAGAAATGGAGCAAGGTTTTTTGAACGATTCATATTCGGTTCTGAGTCCGAATGCTTTGATGACCAGCCAGTCAGGCCAGCCTTTTGATGACCTGGGCTCCGATGTCGAATACCAAACATATGCTTCTCAAATACCTCACAGAAGAATTAAAGAAGCTCCACATGCAAACAACCAGGGGCAAGTTCTACAAAATTCTTTTCTTTCCGACAAATTTATTCACGAGAACGCAAGCACATTCTTCGGCACCTTAGATAGTACATTTAAGGATGGCGCCTCCCACGCTTCAGATTTTGACTCCAGCTTGTTGAGTTTCTGCAATTCAGCCAACGCAGCTACAGAATACATGTTCCCAAACTTGAGTGGTCAGTCAATCTTTATTAACTCCCAAGAATCTCGAATCATAAAGAAAGAATTACACTCAAAATTATCACTGTCAACTCTGCCAACCATGTATAAAAGTCCAGAGCAGGCGTATATTGAGCTAATTCCTTTGCTTAATTCAGTGAGTCACGAGAACTTCGGTTATTTTCTAGTGGGTGTCTTGCAAAGATGCTCGGAAGAACTATCACTGGACAACTTCTACAAGATGTTGTATAATCCGAAATTCTACACTTCTGTATCCGAAAATCTAAGGCAAGATACAAATTTACTTAAGCCTGTCTTTCACTTAGCAGATCTCAAGCTTTGTTTCTATGTTTTGGAAACTTTCAGGCCTCCTCATTTCACCGCAGGTCTGTTTGCCGATGGTTTAGTGCATAACTCCAAGTTGTCGTCAATCAATACGCACGAGTTTTTGAGAACATTTTTAGCACTCAAAATCATCTTTGATTGCTTTGAAAAGACAGATGATGATCATTCTAGCCTTCCCCGAATTCTTACATATAAGGCTTACTACATCCTTTGTCAAATTCTCATCAGCCGAAATTCAGCCTCTTTGCTTCTCTATAGGCTGCAACAAAACATCGTCTTCTGTCAGTCTGGGTTAGGAAAAATTATGAGGTTGGCATTTCCCGACTTGACCACCAAGAGATTGGGAAAGAGAGGCCAGTCCAGATCACACATCCTAGGATTACGTTGGAAACGCCCAATCTTAAGTGAAGATATTTGGCATCTAATGGAATTTGATATCCTGGAAATCAAAAAACACTTTGTAACCCATATTAAGGGTAGCAGAAGACAGCAGAGTATAAATTTACAATTCAAAGCATCAAGAGACAGGCACAATGGAGATCGTGAGCTGAAAGATGAGATTGCCCCAACTCAATCATTGACAGAACGAATGAAGCCATTCTATAGTTTTGTGGATGCATCGAACAAATATCCGAGTTTTGACTGTTCCCCTCGTTTATGGAAATGCATTTTAAATACCCACCCAGCGCCGTCTGAGTGGTCCAAAAACATTATGGTCAAGTCTATTGACACATTGAAGCTGATTGGCATACACATTGAGCCTTTAGTTAACAATTTTGCATCAGAGATCTTTTCAAAAAACAAAAGGGGAATACTTGAGAGCTGTGTATCCCAAGTCATCAAAGGCTCTAATAAAGATCCACCCTCTGTGAAACCATTCTTGCATCTTTGTCTTGTGATTTTTCTTTTGGCATTTCCTTTGATAATTGCATCAGACAGAGAGATTTGTGGAACGAAAAAGGCAAAACTACGCTCGTACTTAAATTCTATCATTGCGCTAATAATGACTGAAAGGCAAAGGGCTCCACCAAATGAAGGCAATATGATGAAGTTCACATGGATCCTAAAAAAAATGATTCATATTAGTGAGTTGACTCTGTCGAAAGTACACACGAATCTGATTATAATGATAACCGATGAAATGATTCGTGATTTAGACAAGTTGGACGAAAACCCTGATAGTCCCAACATTAACAGTATTTCACCAGTTGCCTTTTATGTAAGAAACATTTTTATGTGGTTAAGAGCTTATAATTATGATGGCGTCTATTTGAGCGGTTCTTCGTGTGAAGAAGCCCTGGTTGAGATAGTCCTGAGAATAACGCAAGCTTTTCTAAAAGAAGGTAATGATTTCAGGCAATTTATATCCAACATTTCAATGTCTATGAGCAATGAAGAACGAATCAACGTCACATATGACTTGCCATTCGAATTATTCAGAATTCTGGCACAATTTTTGCATCAAGATTGCTTATCAGATCACTTAGTTTTGAAACTACCGATTTCGGCCATAAAATTCCTTGTTCTCAGCGCCACAAATGAAATTCAGAATGTGAGCTTTAGCTCTGTTGCGGAGCGAGATGAAGATGTATCAAGACAGACTTTCAAGACTTGGTGGGTTCTCTCAACAATACTCCAAGAGTATATGATAGTGCTCTCCGAAATTGCAGCCTTAAGTGGGAATTTATTTTAGATGCTCAATTAAGCTCCAAACTGGATGAAGTGTACTTTTATTTGTTTTTTAGATCTTGATTCGTGATTTTGACGATTCCCAACGGTTGTGATATGTGATATTCGTGAGTGTATTTCGAAGATATTGCTCAACTATTGGTGATCTAAAATGATATTGTTTGAAAATATTTACATAAACAACATGACACGTCACGGTTATTGCCGGGGCGCTGATACGTTCAATGACTCCAATTGGATCTTTCTTGGGTAATTTTCGTGCTTGCACCACAAATTTTTATTTGACTCTGCAGAGGTTTTTTTGTATCTCAGGCTGACGCAAACGCAGTTCTCAGGTTACTGTGATTACTCGAAGCTCAATATTTCAGATCTTCGCTTTGTATCGGATCAACCTTCTTTGGGTGTGCTATTATAGCATGATTTACAAGAAGGAACATATTGCAGTAGGTAGACCTGGTTGTGGACCTGCACAATACCTTGAGTCTAACAAATAATTACTTGTTCAAAGTAGATCCGTATTCAAGAATAGCAGCTTATTCGATTTTTCCGGCAAAACTCGATAATATTTTTGTTGTAGCATTATTCTCACTCCTTCATCATTGCTCGCGAAAGAAAGGGGTATGGGCTGGCAATCACCTGGAACATACAGAATGCAAACTTCCAGATGGAGGGTCCCAGAAACCATCGCCAATGTAACCGGAGAGTTTTTCCTATATTAGAGACAAAAAGTCATTTAAATTTGCTTTCGCATAGAACTTTTTCTTTGTCAAAAATGTAATTTTTGTGCACTCGGCGGAGAATTTTCAAAAACCTCGGTTTGTGAGACTAATGAAGAGAGCAAATTGTTTTGGTTTTGTGTTGCGGGGTTGATAGTTCGAATCTTTTACGTACGGCCACATTGTTGAAAGATTCAATTTTTCAGCAAGCACATTTGCGATGTCTTTAGCTTTCAGGTTTTGTGGTCAGCTTTTCAGAAAGTCCTTCGTTGTCGCATCAAATCTACTAGCACTGAAATGTTCGTCTTCGGATTTGCTGGTAAATCATTGCATTGTGGCAATAAGTCTTCGTATTGCGCATAGGAAACCCCGAGACTTCCGAGGGTGCACGGCGCCTTTTCAAGGCTTATGGCGACATTGCGCTTTGAATACAAAAAGATGCTGGAGTAGCATGTGCAGGTGGCAACAAGCAGAGGAGTGTATACAATTAGATATGCACCCATGAGAATTGATGTCGTCAAGCTGGCTTCAAAGAATTCCTTAAGATCGTGGAAATATTGTCAAGTCAATGTGTGTATGCCCTTGAATAATAAATTGATGCCCAAGCTCATCATTGGTGAAAATAAAGTTAAAAATTAATTTCCAAATGGGTTGATACGTCTATCGTCCAACCTATGCTTGGGGTCAACATTTTCTTAACTAAGTGTAACTTGCAAACTTCGGGCTTTTGAGTGCAGGCTTTGAGAATGTAGCTGAGTACTGTATTTATGTGTAGTGCTTGGCCTGAATGTGTTTGAGGCGACTGAAATACTTTGCAAGATAACTTTTGGCTTTCAATACGAATAGTATTGGAAAAAGATGGGGATGATTTTTCCGGTTCTCTGCTAAATGAAATCTTCTTATGGCAAAATGATAATTGACTTAGCTCAGAAACAACATTGGAAATTGAGGAACAGCATTCAATCTTTTGAAGAATGTTTTTTGGATCGAGACTCATGCTGAATCTCAATGTGAATAAAATGTGAAACATGCCCTTCAAAACATTTTCGTTCTAGAACAGCATCAATAAACTTTTATTTTCTATTTTATGAATTTAAATTTTCAAGTGAGGTTTAGGAAAGGAAGTTCCAGGGCCATCAGATTCATTCAACAAAGAATAGACTAAAAGTACAAGATAGGAAATCCATCCAAAATATTTGATTTCTGCCTTTCCGAAATCTTAACCCCATATGCTACAAAGCAACTTTTGTCTTTTAATGTCTTCTCCTGGTAGTATCCCCAGATCCTAAAAGGGAGATCAAGATTTATCCGTGATTTAGTTTTCAAATATTTAGAGCTCAACACGTACCATACTCAAATTTCCTCTTTGAAAAACTCACCCAACATTATTAACTCAAATTCATTTTTAGACAAAGTCTTCCCTTGATAACATAAAACCACTAGAATTCTTGGTCTAAAAACTTTACACTTGATAGGACTTGACCCTCAATCCATTTTGAATAGCTTCAAGATTCTTTTACATGAGGTTCATAGTCACAGAGTGTTGGATGACAAATTCTTTGCTTAATCACTATCTTTTCAGTCCCGTACTTGATTTGCCTCAATTTTCGACCATGACTGAGTGCTTAAGTCTCGAAGCTTTGCAACTAACAATTTTTCCCTCAGAATGTGATGTTATGCACAAAGCCTTGCATACATAATGAGTTTATACCGTAAAAATTTTCTCACCCGTTTACTATCAATGATATTCACAGTAAAATATTCTTTCACCCCAGCTAATATAGCTTCTATTAAATATCTTGTTTACATTGTCTCTGTTAGGTTTTGGCCTTTTTCTCCCATTCTTCACATGGAAGTAAGATTTTCAAACGCAGCGCTTTTCGAAGACAATGCGTATCAAATTTATCAGAAGTGAACAACACTTTTAGGAAAGGACAAGCTCAGAAGATGAAGAAAGAACGATAACCAGACAGTTCCGGTGCTAATCAGGCTCGGCCATTTTCTCCCCGTGGTCTTTCTTTCACCAAAGATATTAATAATGAGATACTTGTCCGAGGAATCCTTGTTTCAACCAAGAGCACCAGTACTACTTCGTTAACTTACGGCAAAAACATTCAGACCTAAAAATTCAGGCACGGTACAGATACCGGATGTTTTTCAAACAAAATGAGCATATTCTGGAGCGTCCTGGAGGGTATTTCATGCCTTTCTCAGGAAGTTGGAAGCGGGACTGGTATGAGCGGTCCTGATTTTGCAAGCCCGGAGTTTTCATAAACGTATCTCCAGAATCTGCAAATGATCAGTCCCGCCAGGGTGCTCGAACTCGACTTATTTCGCCGTATGTAGTGAAGCAGCCGGCCAGAGATTCCCAGCTCTCCGGAGCGACCCCTCCAAACGATGCAAGACGGACATGGTGCATGCTTGCATTTGGCGGCACCGCAAAATCTACATGGCATGTGAAGGGTGCTTGGTTAGACTCTACTGGAAGACTGTAAGTCTTTTGGATGAGCCGTGCTCCGACCCAAAAGGACGACTCGGACCCGCCCGGACTTTTTGCACCAGAAAATACCCCTCTATCTTTCTGCATCCAAATGCCTGTTTCTGACGCACCTCCACAGCCAAAGCACTTTTCCAAATACGGGCGTCCAGAGAGCCACGCCGCCTAGGACCGGTAGTCCGCGTTGATGGACACGTACTCGTGCGACAAGTCGCAAGTCCAAAACAGCGCCAGCTGGCCGCCGCCCGTGCCCAAGCAGATCTCGATCTCCAAGTCCTCGTTCTTCAAGATCTCGGCCGCGCGCGCCTCGTCCACGGATTCCGGCTCGCCGTCCACAAGCAACTGGAGCCTCTCGGAGCCATCGGTGGGAACGAACGACACGCTGGTGCCCGCCGTGTTGACCGCATCTGCGCCCACGTCCGCGTAGCCAATGGCACACAAAATACGGCCCCAGTTGGCGTCGTTGCCGAACATCGCGGTCTTGAACAACAGCGAGTTGGCCACCGCCAGCGCCACGCGCTTGGCGTCCTTGTACAGCGCCGCGTCTTGCACGTTGATGCGGATGAACTTGGTGGCGCCCTCGCCGTCACGCACCACCAACTGCGCGAGCTGCTGCGCAAACTGTGTGACTTCCTTGCGGAGCGCAAGAAACGCGTCCAGGGTCTCGGCCACACTGTCGATTTGCGGCCCGCCGGCCGCGCCGTTGGCAATGGCGACGATGGTGTCGTTGGTGGACGTGTCGCCGTCCACGGAGATGGAGTTGAACGAGCGGTCCGTGGCGTACTTCAAGATCTGCTTCAACGCCAGGGCCGTGACCGGCGCGTCGGTCGCAAAGAAGCCGAGAAGCGTGGCCATGTTGGGGCAGATCATGCCCGCGCCCTTGGCCAAGCCGGCCATGGTGTACGTGTGTTCGCCAATCACAAACTGCTTGCTGACCAACTTGGGGAACGTGTCTGTGGTGCAGATAGCCGAGGCACAGGCAAGCCAGTGTGCATGCGAGGCCCCAAGCCCGCTGCCGGCCAACTTGGGGATCCCGCCGACGATCTTGTCGATGGGCAACTTGTTGCCAATCACGCCTGTCAGCATCACGAGCGACGACGAGCCGCTGCGGTTGCCGAACACGCGGTCCGTGGTCTCGACCATTTGGCGTGCGTCTTGCATGCCCTGCGAGCCCGTGACGGCGTTGGCGTTTCCCGAATTCACCACTATCGAGTTGATGTACGGGTGCTCCTTGAGCGTGTGCATGGACACCTGCACGGGCGCTGCCTTGAACTTGTTTTGTGTGAACACGGCGGCCGCTACAGCCTCCGAACTACTGGTGTTGTGAAGCAAGGCCAAATCCAACGTACCGTTTTTTTTGACGCCGCAGTGGGCGCCGCCCACAACGAAGCCCTTGGGGTAGACCCCCGACTTTGGAACAAAGCGCTCGGCCTTCGAAAGCGCAAACAACTGCGCACTGACTTTCATGATGGTGGGGAAAAGAGAGGCGGAGGGGTTGGCGGAGAAGTTGAGCTGAGGTGCTGGGCGATCCGGGTCACGTGCGCGCGATAACGGACCGCGCCTAACCGCATT